AAAATGTAGAAATACAATCATTTAGTTTACAACCACTACGCACGGGACGATGGAGTAATCTCCGAAGCGGCCTTAGTGCAATAACATACCTGTCTGGATTAGAAAGACAGTAAGCTAAACTAATATTTTATCTACTTTATTATTTTGATAAATTTTGGTTAATATCCTTGCTTCAAATAAAAAATTCTCGTTTGTAAAAGGGGAACTTAAACAGAAATATTATGTCTGTCTAGAACATATGGTTTATTTAAAGCTTATCTGTAGCCTATTTGGTTGAATAAAATTTGAATAGTGTTTTTGGCTTAACCGAGAATAACTTATTAGAACCAATAAGAGTAGAGTGGTATCCGAATAGTACTAGATTTTAGCCTACTATTTTTTTTTTTTTTTTTTTGTATCTATTAACACTGAGGTAATGACTAAGCCATTTAGGGAAACATTCTAAAATTCATTTTATCAAGAGAGATGAATATAAGCCTATACCAAAGCAAATCAAAAAATTATATTGAGCGTTTAACAACAATAAATAAAATATGTATATTTTACTTATAAGTGTTACAAAAGGTTATCATAGTTAGATAAACAGGTTTGCTATCTAAAAATTAAAACACTTCTTGCATAATCATTGACCACTATTCTAGCGTCAGGCCCAAAGTGCACCGGAACACTCACTATTTATTTGTGAGATCCAGTTTTTTGGGAATATAAAGTTATTTAGTACACAATTTAAGTCTCTAAACATAAGAGCCAGAATTTTTCAATAAACTACTTAGAAAACCCTTTACCTTTAACTGGGAATGCAGTTTGATCTATATCAGCAGGCAATTAGGCCTTATTGAGAAAATTGAGCTACCCAGAATCCTTGGAGTTAGCTAAAATTTGAAAAAAACTTAACCTCTAAGATTTCAAGGATTGGGGTTAATCTGAGAGGATTTTTTCCCAAGGGAGATTTAAGTAACTTATTGTTTTCTCACATAATCTATTCAAAATCTATTCTTTTTCACCAAAAAATTTTCGTACCCTACAGCTTCTTGTAGAGTGAAAATTAGTAAAGAGATAGATCTTTCTTCTACATATAGCCTAAACCTATCTTTTTCATTTTGGCTCAATAACTTAAGATTGGTTCACAGCATTACTACATCACAAATTGCTAAAGTACCGGTACTGGAATTTATACCTAGGTGGAGTGCAGAAGACCTGAGCCACTTTTTTTCTCCTCACTGTTACGCTAATGCTATTTGAAATATCTGCAGCTTATGGAAGCGGGGGCATGGTACTATCCTCTACGTAGCTTACGTATAGAGAGCTTTTGCCTGAGGTGGTTGTGGTTTTCGTTTAAACACAAGGTTAGTATAATACAGGGTAGTTTAATAGATTAATGTATTCAATTTTTGTTGTTTATATCGAAGCTATAAAACAGAAAAACAAACTACAACCATAGAAGGATTTATTATTAGGTAGTTAATACTACGCGAAATGTGTTCAAATTGACCACCATTAACCTGTATAGTGATATAGCAAACTTGCAGACTGAACTACAACTGTCATTGTTTTATCAGTAGGCCTAATAGCAGCAAGCTGTGATGTTGTCTTGTACAGTAATTCGTTGATTGTAGCTGGTTTCTGTGAGCGCGTTCTGGGAACACTGACCGGTACACCGGTGCGTAAAATGCGTCGTTCTGGGAGACCGGTGAGTTAACCCAGCAGACAGCTATTTCCTCTTTTTCCTCCACCGATGCAAGATTTATGCACCGGAGAAATTGTACGGTGCATAATACACTGGCGGCCTCTGATTGGTCAGTTTATTGGACAATAGTATGCAGCAACGGCAAGATAGCGGGTCCATCGAATAATGTTCTTCAGTTTTATAGGTTACTAGCTGTAACCCGCGGGCTTTGCCCCGTTTAACTTCTTAATTTTCAAGATTATCTCGTTCGCATGGCTCAATCACGTCCTGGTTGAAGTTTGTTCGCTACGCTCACTCACCTTTAGGTTGGAGCTCGTTCGCTACGCTCACTCACCTTTAGGTTGGAGCTCGTTCGCTACGCTCACTCACCTTTAGGTTGGAGCTCGTTCGCTGCGCTCACTTGCCTTCAGGTTAGCTCGTTCGCTACGCTAACTCGCCTCCAGGTTGAAGTTCGTTCGCTACGCTCACTCACCTTTTGGTTGCAAATTAGCTGTTGTCATAAATGTAAAAGAAATAATAGTGCTGCACCCTGTTGGTAATCCTTGTAACTTTAATGCTATTGAACATCATAGAACAGAACCAACTTGTTTAGTTGAAACAGCTGTTAAGATTCAATAATTCCATTTCTCATAAGTTTAACATGGGAAACTCCAGAGCCACTGGGGCGGAGCCCGAAAGGATTTTTGAAATAAGAATATGCCTATATGTTAATCGGGAATGTGAGCTATCATCATGCCAAATTTCAGCCCAATCCGACCAGTATTTTTCGAGTTTACTTTTCCCATACACACATACAGCAACCACCTCTTTTTTATAATAGTATAGATAGATATTACGTAATGAGTGAATAATTTATTCTATGAGGGGTTATAACGTAATAAGTGAATAATTTTCAAATAATTTATTCTGTGAGGTTAAGTTTGTTTGTTTGAAATATTATAAAGTAAATAGTAGGCGGATGTCTAAATTATAATCCAATGTGTACCTTAAACCGGTGACAGTTCTGGGAAACCAAGACTCTTGCCCCAGGGCGGAACTAGTGAGTAAGTCACCGGTTAATCTGCACTAGTGCACCAGTACATGTTCCCAGAACGCGCTCTGTATGTACACTTCATTCTTGATAGTCCCCCATAAGTTGAAATCTAGCGGTGTTAAATTTGGTGACCAGGGAGGACAATTAACAGCAGAGCCTCTGCGACCTCCACCAGAGTCAGGACTCTATCTTTTTTAAAGTAAAACATTTAATTGCTAAATAGGAAAATCCTTGTTCCGAGCATATCAAGGTATACCTGACCAGTGATGGTATCATCAAAGAAGAAAGGGCCAATCAAACCATGTGATGAGACGCTGCAGCAAACATTAACCCAGGGTAGATTTACAGCTTTTTCTACACGAACATGAGGATTGTCAGGGGCCCAGTAGACAAAATTGAGACCGTTAACAGTCCCGTTAAGCGTAAACTGTGCCTCATACGACCACACAAATTTATCATCAAACGCACTGTATCAGCAAGTGTACAGACAGAAACCAGCTAGCCTACAATCAATGAGTTACGTGACAACATCCAGCGTCCTGTACTGTTATTATTGATGAACCAATGATAGTTGTATTTCAGTCTGCAGTTCCGAGACATCACCTATACAGGTTGATGGTGGCCACTAACTCATTTCAAGAATATTAACTAATAATAATTGTACTATGGTTGTAGTTTGTGTTTCTGATTTAGGGCCTATAGCTTCAAATATAGGTATAGCCTACAAAAATTATTATTAGGCTATACAAGTTATTGTTGAAAAACCCTTTTATATTAAATTAAGATCAGCTAATATAATCTAACCTAACCCAACCTAGATGTTAATTTTTAAAATCACATTTTATGACAGAAAGGAAGATAGGTTAAGTACTTTATACAGATTTGTGATTGTTGCATTTTTGATATTGTTATTTTGTTGTTTTTCACCCACTATATTTCAATTAAGTGCAAAAACAGTCTGGTGGTAGCATAAATTAATGAGTCCGTTCATTATAACCTAAACTTTACCTTCCTATTCTAACCTCACTTCGAAACACTTAATATAATCTTGAATCCGCATAAAACCCGACCTACCTTCCCACATGCCTCAATAAGAGCTGATTATTTGGTTTCAAAACGAATTGATTTCATTACGAATTAAGTTGAGTAGAAACAGCTGGTTTTCTCTCTTCACTACTCAGTCCTCAGTCTAAATAGGTACCTACCATTTAGACCACACCATATTAAGTTACCATCATTACCGCTCAATGAACCTTAGATTTGTAATCTTAACCTTCGATTTACGGCCACTTATGTAGGAATCTCTCCGACACAAACTGATTGCATTTTTGGATTCAGCGTGAAAAAAACTGTAGGCCTAAGTAAACATTTAAAAATTACATCATATCCCAGTGTAGCCTATATATAGTAAATAATTGCCAATGTTTAATTTAGCTTAGTATACGGTACGGTAAACAATAAGTAAATTAAATAAAGTAACATAACTCGTGTTCTAAAAATAAACGGACTAAGTTATGCTCTTGATAGGCCGCACATAGTGGTGAAATGTGCTGAAAACTCACAAACTTCAAGAACCTGGAAACCACAAGGTAAACTTACAAAACATCACCTTTCAACTTGTACAGCCTGTCAAACTAACACTTTATCAAGAATTTGTAAAAATCAACACCTTTTTAACTGATTTATTGGTTTTTGTTCTTCCCCTCATCATCATCTAGACTCTCTTTATATGCATTTAGCCTACTCACTATTTTTTACGATAGCCCATTGGACAGTTTCCCTTATAACTTAATTTTATTTCAGGCAATGGTAAATTAAATTCCACCGAAAAAAGTGTGTTGAGAATTCATTAGTACTTTAGAGGCAGCAGAATAACTTATAAGTTAGGCTACACACACACACAGTTAGCCTAGGCTAAATAGAAATATTTAAATTGATTTTGTATACCAAACATATATTTTTGAACATGCTATTTCATGAATGCAAGGATTATTTTTAGGGTGCATTTATAAGACTTGGTAGAAATTGACTTTTGTGAGCCACTTTAACAAAGAGGACATTTGTGAGTCTGTTGCTACTTTCTGCCCGGCATAGAATAGGTGCAAGTGTTTCGTTTAAACAGTAAGCTTAAATAAAGAGTATAAACTACGACTTAGTAAGATATTTCAAACACCCTATTCATGATGAAAATCATAATCATACCGGTTACATCATCAAGGTTACAAGAGAATTTAAATTAAATGTAGCTTTGTAATGGTTCGTATTATTAACTGTACTTACTTATATTTGCCTTAGTTAATCCAATATCTATCCCACTATCGGACCCGCCATCGGAAACACCATTTTCAACAGAAGATTCTAAAGCCATAATAGTCAAATTTTCACGCACAAACGATTAGAACTACAACCCCACGGACAAATCTTTGCAGACTACGCTGCACACATGTGCTTTTTTTTGTAATCGGGGAAACAGTTCTGCCACTAGACGTTGCATCCTGGGATATCGGCAGGTACAGTAGTTTATTCCATTAACTAACAAAACAATAATAGAAACAGCCAAATCCATAAATATAACTTTAAAAACTGTCTATATATCGGTAACAGATCAAATTCTGTCCTTGAGTTAAATTTAAAATGAAAAACCTGTAAACTACATTGTTCCACTGATCCCAGGATTGCATAAACAGTGCTGCCATGTGTTGTTGGTTCAATAATATCCCAACCTCAATGAAAAGTTTGTCATACTTTTCTTATTTATTAAATATAGCTATTAAAAATAAATAATTATTAGTTTTAAAATGTCCCATAAGCTTTAGTTCAAGCTAATGAGTTTTGATCATTGTCAAAATCAGAGGCATTTCATAAAGTCTGATAGCGGATATCACATGTTTGTTATCAAATCAGCTGATTCCATTCCGCGGGAGATTCAAAAGGTGTGACACCCCGTTTGCCTTTGTAAAGTTTTGTTTTTGTATAATGCTGAGAGCGATAAATTATTAGTCTATTTTCTTCTATATATATAAAATCCAATTTATGTTTATTTGTCGTTTATGGACTCCGAATCCGCTCGACAGATTGTAATGAAACTTTCAGGCAGTATTAAGCTTTATTTAAGGATGGTTTGTGTGAAGTTTTGGTGCAGATCCGTCAAAAGGGATCTGCCCCAGTGGCTCTGGAGTTGCCCATGTTAACCTTATGAGTACTCATATTTAAATGGAATTAAAGAATCTTAACAGCTGATTCAACTAAACAATTTGATTCAGTGATGTTCAATAGCATTAAAAAGTTTTAGGTTTACCAACAGGGTGCAGCACTATTATTTTTCTTAATTTATGACAACCGCTAATTTGCAACCAAAAGGTGAGTGAGCGTAGCGAATGGACTTCAACCTGGAGGTGAGTTAGCGTAGCAAACGAGCTAACCTGAAGGCAAGTGAATGCAGTGAATGAGCTCCAACCTAAAGGTGAGTAAAGAGTAAGTGTAGCAAACAAACTTCAACCAGAACGTGATTGAGCCATGCGAACGAGCTCATCTTGAAAATGAACGAGCATTTGACATAAAACCACATTAGGACAGGAGACAGGACAACGTTTGTCGGGCCAGCTAGTTACTAGTTATAATCATTTGCATCGCAAAAGTGATGCACACAAGCAGGATTCATTACTTTAGGCCGAGTGCTATACCCATACCTCTTTTCTAGAATTGGAGCATCTCAGGTCTCATAGGTGCTCTACAACCTGATTGTAGTACTCTACAATCAGGCTACAGTTATTTATGTTCAGTAAACGTAAAGCCGGGTTTTCCTAGGCGCGTAGTAGGCGAGCGGAGAGAGGAACGCGGAGAGCAGACTCCACTTGTCTTAGGCAATTTAATGTTACTGTTTTCCTAGAAGCGGAGCGGAATGCCATGTTAATTTCAATTCCGCTCTCCACGTTCCTCTCTCCGCTCGCCGACTCCGCGCCTAGGAAAACCCAGCTTAACACTGTAAATTTTGCCTAAACGTACCATTTTGAAGAGAATAAATCTAGTAAAATTTTGATGTTTTAGTGAAGTAGTGAAGGCTTGGTAAGCTACATACAGGCAATATTTACGAGTCCGTTTTTTTAAGTAAGGGCCGGTTTAGCGTATATCCGTATTACGCCACAACAAGGCTCATCACCAGTTACTGGCATCATTTGTTAACAGAATGACACAAATTTCAGCTCTTTAGCTAGCATGGACGCTTCGCTGTGTTTTTAAAATTTGATAAACAATCAAATTTCCTGCCGCGTGCAAGGTAAGGTCAGTGACACGTTTTTTATAACAAGAAACATACCTGATGCTGACATTCATCGCCAGAGCTAGCTGAATGTTTAAGTGCTTGCCCATTCAAAAGCTTGCTGGTATGATCCTGAGAAAAGTTAGTTAGTTAGCTTTTTGATTGTTTGAAACTGGGCCCAGCTGTTCCTGATCATTGGGCTTTTAATATAATGATCCTGAATTATGAAACAGCTGATATTAGTCAGTAACAAACAAAGCTACAAAGATCATCTCACACCATTCTACATTCATATTTGGGTTAAATGATATCCCATCTCAATTGATAATGATAATGATGATGATAATAGTTCAAACACTTTGCCCTTCTTCTCCTGTATCTTTCTAATCATAAAACTTAGTATTATGTTCAAATTCAGTGTTCGAAAATACAATTTATCGCACACACAGGGCCATTTTAAAAAAGGGGCCCAAAGGCGCAAGAGGGTTTAGTTTGATGGGGACTTAAGGAAGAGACAAATTCTCCCACGAGGAAGGGGGGAGGAGTGCAATTATCGCTATAGAACTCAAGACTGCGTTCACTGTTGCACTTACTCTATGAGGTGGTTTTTTTAACCTGTCCAAACTTTGGGGTACCTCCTGCAAGTCAAATTCAGTGCAATCATTCAAAGGTTTCAAAAAGTTTCTTAGACATTTTCTACAAGCATTTGGTATGTTTGCTACTGAAGTTGGGATAATGATTGTTATAAAAACTTAGATTTTGATTGCCATCCTTCCTGGAAACCTTCTTACCCTCTCCAAAGTTGAGTTTGTGTCTGTCTGCTGCGCTATATAAATTTGATTTCAATACAACATAACTACTAATACTCCATTCACAAAATTTAGGCGGTTTTAGGGGAAGAAAACTATCCCCTCCACGTCTTGATCCCGCCATTAAAACATAGCTCAACAGCTGATATTTGTCAACCAAACGGCAATCAGCTGAAGCTGAAACATACATTAAGAAGAAAAAAATAACTTCCCCCTCACACCGCCTAAATATTGATAATTGAAGCAAATTCTCACAAGAATATTCTACTAGGATATTCTTAAGTCATGTGTCTAGGGATGGCAACAGTCAATTAATATATTGAAATAGTAAATTGTATAGCCTGGGTTCCTATGTCTAATAAAGAATTAATTTACCTGGTTGTTTTTATGTGGTATTCCCAGATTCAAGAACAGATAATTAATTATGTTGTTTATCTTTTGATTGCCAGGTTCTTGATGAAATAATAATGTGTAGCTCTATGTACATTTCGCCACAAGTGTGGCATCCTCAGGAGCTGTGTATGGTTTCTTCTCCGATCACTATCACTTAGTCACTAAAAACGCACTATCCTATTTTATTTACATTCACGGGTGATTCACATATCGTGCGTTTTTAGTGACTAAGTGATAGTGATATGAGAAGAAACCAGACACAGCTCCTGAGGATGCCACACTTGTGGCGAAATGTACATAGAGCTTAACATTATTATTTCATCAAGAACCTGGCAATCAAAAGGTAAACAACATAACTAATTACCTGGTTGTTGTCACGTTACAACCACCTGGGGTACCGTAGACCCCTAGAATATATCCGTGATAGCGAAAGTCCGAAAGATGTTCAATTTTTCACTGGGTACATCATGTGAATACGATAATGTGTTTACCATTCCTTTGCGATTGCAGAAAATGACAATTTTATCTCCTTTTCAAAGCAACCTGATTTTGATCCTAAAAATGTCAAAATTTTTTACCCAGCCCAAATTAAAAATTCTGGCTCTCAAACCCCTGGTATTATTATTAAAAATTAACACAGAATTATTTATTAGATAGTCCAATATTATCTTGATTTATTCGCCGTTCGGATCGTAGAAAACAAAGGCTCGCGTTCATCGTGTATTTCTAAACCCCTAAGCTCAGCCACTGGAGAATAGGAATAGAAGGGTGTTTTTAAAGTGAGCCGCCATGGGCCTCATAGATTCTGAATACGGCCTTGTGCGTGTGCAACACACAGGGTCAAGATAATCACTAAATCTAACACCATCAGGTAAAATAAAAAGGGCAACCACGTTAATATATTTAATAAAAATCTTTATTCCTTGTAGAATTAGTTTTTAGTTAGTAAAAATCTTTGTAAGACTAGAATTATTGTACATGAATAAGTTACAAAATATTTTCTGTACAAGCAATGTTTCAACCAGCATTTTACAAAATATCTAAGGCTAATGTTTTTTAATTGTCTTTGATTACCCCCTTTCACCCAACCCCTTATTTAGTAAAAACAAATTTATAAATTTAGTAAAACCAAATTTATACAAGTCATTTACATAAAGGCTTGCAGTCACAGGTAGTTTGTAAAATGCTGATAAAAATGAATACTCCAACCATAATACTTCATTAAATAAATATTACGAACATAAAACAAAATATTGCGTAAAATAAATTATATAAAAGCTATACCATGTTTAAACACCTAATATTGAGCTTTAAAGAGGAAGAACAGGAGAGGAGTTTTTAAACAATCAATAAATAAGAATAACATGAAACCATAAAGTTAAATGCAGTTTTGTGCTACCAAAAATACAGTTTTCACCACACTATGATGTTTTTGGCTGTATTACATACGTTAATTGGTGGCTGAAAGTTACGTTTTGCTGGCGATGCCAGCTGTCATCATAAATTGGGGACCGAGCAGGTTTTTACAGGCCGGGGCCGCAAAATCAGCTGTCCGCTTACTTACTTAAACATGAATGCATTTTAAATACACAATCAAAATCCATAGCATTGCAATAGAATTGTGTTATTGTCACCGTTGCCTAGCAACTATTTATTTTTATTTTTGCTGATTCCTCAAATTATTTCTTCACATAACCTTAAAGTTGTAGTTGTGTTGACTATCAGTGCGCATTATTATAGTGGTGAATAGTGGTAATATGGTATAGTGTGGTGAAAAATAGCGTTCGTACCACGGACCGAAATGGTTTTGCAGCTCTCGATCGATTTAAGTTCTCGACTTCGTCTCGAACTTAAAAACTATCTCGAGCCGGCAAAACCTCATTTTCGGCCCTTGGTACGAAATATACTATTTCAATTTATACTCGATTTCGTTGTACAAATTGTATATTACATAGTAGGATATTATTGTTCACAAAGGCAAAATGTTTTATAAGGTCAAACATACCATAACTGAAAGACAAGAAAATTTCAATGTACAAAACCCAAATAAATTGTATGCCTTAAAAATGTAATTTTTTGGTGTTGGATGTTTAAGTGTGTAGAATAGTTATTTCATGATCAATGATTTGAAGTGTTTTCATATTTGTTCAAAATAATTAGTTTTTTTCCAGATTTTGCATTATTATCGTGTTTATCCAACTTTCTTCAAATTGGTTAACATACAAATTGTCATCAAATAAAATCTGAGGTCAGACATATTAACTCTTCAGTAGTTTTAATGATATCTCCAGCGAGAACATTATGTTAATATTTTAGTGAATGGAGATCAGATACACTAGTACAAAAATACATACATGGGGTTTCAACAGCTTAATTGTTAGTAGGGCCTACAGTACGTAACCCCGATAAAAAGCTGTGACTTAGAAACCTTTTAAATTGAAATCAATAGCTTTTCAGTGTCTTCTGCGAATAAAAAAATTGGCATTTTCCCCTCTGTAATAGTTCAATCAATATTCAAAAAAATATTAAAATAGAGGTATGAGTTTTGGTTGGACCACAACTGGTTTCAAACCTAAAGGTCCATTTTCAGCTTGAATATCGTGCTACTAAATCCTCTTCTTACTGGTTATTTTTCTTCTGTATCACTATCACATCTTAGGCTAAAGCCCGCATCTTTCTCATTACTTCAGACTAGGCCTACAGGTTCTAAAAATAAAATCCATTGGTGATTGATGGGATTTGAACCCCTGACCTCAGGGACTGAAGCCCACGCTCCAACACTAGGTTGGCTTACTCCCCTTCTCACCGAGGTTGTAAATATTTATTTGACAACAGTGAAAATTGTATATCAACATAAAAATCTGTATTACATCAGTGGAACCCTTGATAACAAGCGTAATTTTAAAATAGCCTTGATTAAATGATGTTGCAAACCTTGATAACAAGTTGTATTTCATTATCGCCATGAGAGTATTGTTAACGAAGTTCAACTGTACTTAGCCAAATACTTATTTTATTTTTCATGTTTTGGAGTTTATGATAACTCTTCAGAACCCCAGTGATGAAGAGTATTCAACAGCATGAAGTTTGACTTCAAAATTATCATTCACAGAACTTTTTAAACTCTTTATCTTTAAAATTCCCTTTCCTTAATGAACTGTTGAAACCATGGCCTGTTAGACATTGTAGAAAAATTGTTTTCCCTCAATAAATAAATACAATTGTTGGCCGACCAAAACTAAAAATCTCAGAGGGTACCGTAGGTATTTTAACCTTTTTAAAATCATTGACTTTTTGCCCCCTGTCGTCACCATGAATATTTCTGTCTATCAATTGAATGTCATTATCCAAAACTCAACGGTACAGCTTTGTACACAAGAAATCCGCTCAAATCCAAAATCAAAATACCAACTCAGCCAACAGCTGTTAGCCTACTAAGTTATCTACTCCGGAGGTCTCTTATGCTGACTCCAGCCGTGGAAACACTTAGTGAAACGTCTTGACTCTTTGTTCTTGAGCGTGAGGAACAACTTGCGAGGTTTATCAGGCTGTTTGGCTCTCATGTGTTGGATGTAAACCTGCAAAAGTGTTATGTTAGGAGGGTAAAACAAATAATTGGAGAGGTCACAGTGAAGGTTGCCCTATTTCCCCTTTTTTGTTTGAGATAGGGTATAGAGGTCTAAGGGGAACAACCACATTTCACCTAGAACATTTTCTCATCCTAAAAGAGTGCAATTAGGTGTCTAGTTGATATTAGGCTAATAGACAGCTGCAGTGACCTATCAAAGAACAAAAACACTGACAGTATCTTTTCATCACACTGCAGCAATAACAGCCATTTTAATATTTGCGTTACAGGTCTACAGTAGCTCTTTTCTCTCTAGAACGTAAAACACTTTTTTGAGTCTAGGGAGCAAAATTCAGCTTTTGTTAATAAAGTTGTAATCTTTAATTGTAAGCAATCCCATTAATCACAAGTGTGTATCGATTGTTTTCATCAGTTATAATTTGTAATAAAAACAATGTTTATAAGAAACATTTATTTTAAATATAACTGAGTGAAAAATTTTCTTTGAAAAAAGAATGTAATATATAACAATCAAAGGTGCGATACTAAACATACCTGTGCTGACTTGTAGGCTAGCTTCACCTCCACTTCGCTGCATTTTGATCCTAACCACATGAACACGTGTTCTCCGTTGTCAAGAATCATTATGTCATCGTCTGCAAGATCATCCTATAACACAATATCCTTATTAATAATTCCTTTAAAACAGAGAAAAAGGCATACTAGGGAGATAAGGAACCTGTATACAGATTATGATGTAGTAGCAAACGTGAAAGCAAGGAGAAAAAGGTGGGCAGGATACACACTACAGAGAGAAAGGGGTTCAGTATTAAAAGAAGCAAGCATATGAAACCCAGAAAGGAGACGGCCATTAGGAAGGCCCAAAAAGAGATGGTGGGATAGTGTCTACAAGGACGTCAGAGAAGTGGGGGCAGCAGTGGAAGAGGCAGAAGATAGAGAGAGATGGAGAGCAGTTGTTGGTGTGGCCAAATCCCGCCTTGGGCATAAATGGCCATGGGAGTGAGTGAGTTTTAAAACAATGGTTCCCAGCTGGTGGTCCGCAGTCCAAAGTCGCTCCACGAGAAACTAGATGTAAAGAGTAACAAAATAATTGTTGAATAAAATTAAATTGGAAAGAAAAAAGTTTAAATAACAAATAACACATGGCAAATGTTTTTAATAGTTTAAATCAGTTTTTCAAAGTTACACTGAAATAATTGCGACAAACGCAAACTGTGTAACTTTATTTGCATTTTAAATTTCTAAAAAAAATTGTGTAAAATTTTTAGAATGACTTTGCAATGAGAACATTTTATATTTCAATTTAATGACAAAAACATAATTTTTGCTCAAGAGTTTTAAAAAGAAACATTACGTTTGTATTCTTATAACCTTGTAACGTTGTAAAAAATTAGTTTCCATCTAGCAAATGGAGGTCCGTGATACTTTCACTGTCACATTATGTGGTCCACGGATCCCAGCGAGTTGGGAACGGCTGCTTCAGAACATCTGTATTACTTTCTTGAATGGCACATGACAACATAAAAGATTTTCTAAAATATAGATACTGGTAAAGTTCTTACATAAAACGAATAGACAAAAGTTACTGATTCTGACACCACCTGCGGATATAGTAAAGAATTGGTTCATTCATGCAATAAAGTTCTTACATAAAACCCATAGACAAAAGTTACTGATTCTGACACCACCTGCGGATATAGTAAAGAATTGGTTCATTCATGCAATAAAGTTCTTACATAAAACCCATAGACAAAAGTTACTGATTCTGACACCACCTGCGGATATAGTAAAGAATTGGTTCATTCATGCAAAAAAGTTCTTACATAAAACCCATAGACAAAAGTTACTGATTCTGGCACCACCTGCGGATATAGTAAAGAATATTTTCATTCATTCAATAAAGTTCTTACATAAAACCCATAGACAAAAGTTACTGATTCTGACACCACCTGCGGATATAGTAAAGAATTTGTTCATTCATGCAATAAAGTTCTTACATAAAACCCTTAGACAAAAGTTACTGATTCTGACACCACCTGCGGATATAGTAAAGAATTGGTTCATTCATGCAATAAAATTCTTACATAAAACCCATAGACAAAAGTTACTGATTCTGACACCACCTGCGGATATAGTAAAGAATTGGTTCATTCATGCAATAAAGTTCTTACATAAAACCCATAGACAAAAGTTACTGATTCTGACACCACCTGCGGATATAGTAAAGAATTTTTTCATTCATTTAATAAAGTTCTTACATAAAACCCATAGACAAAAGTTATTGATTCTGACACCACCTGCGGATATAGTAAAGAATTGGTTCATTCATGCAATAAAGTTCTTACATAAAACCCATAGACAAAAGTTACTGATTCTGACACCGCCTGCGGATATAGTAAAGAATTTGTTTATTCATGCAATAAAGTTCTTACATAAAACCCATAGACAAAAGTTACTGATTCTGACACCACCTGCGGATATAGTAAAGAATTTGTTTATTCATGCAATAAAGTTCTTACATAAAACCCATAGACAAAAGTTACTGATTCTGACACCGCCTGCGGATATAGTAAAGAATTTGTTTATTCATGCAATAAAGTTCTTACATAAAACCCATAGACAAAAGTTACTGATTCTGACACCGCCTGCGGATATAGTAAAGAATTTGTTTATTCATGCAATAAAGTTCTTACATAAAACCCATAGACAAAAGTTACTGATTCTGACACCACCTGCGGATATAGTAAAGAATTGGTTCATTCATGCAATAAAGTTCTTACATAAAACCCATAGACAAAAGTTACTGATTCTGGCACCACCTGCGGATATAGTAAAGAATATTTTCATTCATTCAATAAAGTTCTTACATAAAACCCATAGACAAAAGTTACTGATTCTGACACCACCTGCGGATATAGTAAAGAATTTGTTCATTCATGCAATAAAATTCTTACATAAAACCCATAGACAAAAGTTACTGATTCTGACACCGCCTGCGGATATAGTAAAGAATTTGTTTATTCATGCAATAAAGTTCTTACATAAAACCCATAGACAAAAGTTACTGATTCTGACACCACCTGCGGATATAGTAAAGAATTGGTTCATTCATGCAATAAAGTTCTTACATAAAACCCATAGACAAAAGTTACTGATTCTGACACCACCTGCGGATATAGTAAAGAATTTTTTCATTCATTTAATAAAGTTCTTACATAAAACCCATAGACAAAAGTTACTGATTCTGGCACCACCTGCGGATATAGTAAAGAATATTTTCATTCATTCAATAAAGTTCTTACATAAAACCCATAGACAAAAGTTACTGATTCTGACACCACCTGCGGATATAGTAAAGAATTGGTTCATTCATGCAATAAAGTTCTTACATAAAACCCATAGACAAAAGTTACTGATTCTGACACCGCCTGCGGATATAGTAAAGAATTTGTTTATTCATGCAATAAAGTTCTTACATAAAACCCATAGACAAAAGTTACTGATTCTGACACCACCTGCGGATATAGTAAAGAATTGGTTCATTCATGCAATAAAGTTCTTACATAAAACCCATAGACAAAAGTTACTGATTCTGACACCACCTGCGGATATAGTAAAGAATTTTTTCATTCATTTAATAAAGTTCTTACATAAAACCCATAGACAAAAGTTATTGATTCTGACACCACCTGCGGATATAGTAAAGAATTGGTTCATTCATGCAATAAAGTTCTTACATAAAACCCATAGACAAAAGTTACTGATTCTGACACCGCCTGCGGATATAGTAAAGAATTTGTTTATTCATGCAATAAAGTTCTTACATAAAACCCATAGACAAAAGTTACTGATTCTGACACCACCTGCGGATATAGTAAAGAATTTGTTTATTCATGCAATAAAGTTCTTACATAAAACCCATAGACAAAAGTTACTGATTCTGACACCGCCTGCGGATATAGTAAAGAATTTGTTTATTCATGCAATAAAGTTCTTACATAAAACCCATAGACAAAAGTTACTGATTCTGACACCGCCTGCGGATATAGTAAAGAATTTGTTTATTCATGCAATAAAGTTCTTACATAAAACCCATAGACAAAAGTTACTGATTCTGACACCACCTGCGGATATAGTAAAGAATTGGTTCATTCATGCAATAAAGTTCTTACATAAAACCCATAGACAAAAGTTACTGATTCTGACACCGCCTGCGGATATAGTAAAGAATTTTTTCATTCATTCAATAAAGTTCTTACATAAAACCCATAGACAAAAGTTACTGATTCTGACACCGCCTGCGGATATAGTAAAGAATTTTTTCATTCATTCAATAAAGTTCTTACATAAAACCCATAGACAAAAGTTACTGATTCTGACACCGCCTGCGGATATAGTAAAGAATTTTTTCATTCATTCAATAAAGTTCTTACATAAAACCCATAGACAAAAGTTACTGATTCTGACACCACCTGCGGATATAGTAAAGAATTTTTTTATTCATGCAATACTATACCAACCTGACAAAAGTCTGAACATTTTTCTGAGACGGTGAAATACCCCTTCTCGTTAGAACAGCGGAAGAGTCTGGTGTAGTTCATGAAGTCTGCATCTGTTTCGTAAGGTTTACGACCTCCGAGTGCAACCCAGAAGAAGTTATCAGGCTCCTCTCCTTCGTTGAGTACTTGCAGAGTGATCCATGGCTGTGATAAAACAAGTAAGTTAATTCTACTTTTAGAATGTATATATTTTATTTATTTTTATTATGTTCAATAAATTTAATCTATTAAGGATAAAAATATTGTCATAGTTGTAAAATATGAAAACATAAGAGAAAACTACAAGTACAATAAAATATGGGTGGGTAAAAAGTTTTTACCATAGCAAGGAGTTTTGAAAATTTGATTGAAATCAGCTAATGTGAATCGCCTGATGAAATATGAATATCGAGTTATCATAAGTAATAGTTCTGAAGAAAACAGTTTTAATTATTGACAGAAGAGCTCAAGTAGTTAGTTTAAAAAATAGGAATGAGAAAAAGTAAATATAAAGACATAAGCAATTTTTTTTAATGGTGTTTGTCACTTTTAATATATTTTTTTTCTTAGTTGATGGAAATTAATTACAGGTTAAACTTGATAAAGTGAAAGATTGGTTATTAAGTAATGTTGATAAGTTTTGTAGCTAGTTACAAGGAAAATGGAAACAACATTGTAATTTCTTTGAACACTTTTTCAGGAAACAGAATGGATTAGTTTGGATTAGTAGGTTTCTGAAGTACATAAAAAGTTGAAATCGGAAACATGAGTTTGAGTAAGGGATTCACTTCGAAATTAAGTTTAAACCCGTTTTAAACCATAGTTATCGAGTAAACGCGATTTCTTTTACTACATGCATAAAAAATAAATAATGAAAGTATGTTACATATTTATTTTCAAACATGTTAAGTATGTCATATGACACAACAGTTTTAAATATTTTCATATAAGCCATAGGACCAACAAAACAGAAATGATTGGATCGTTGGAAAGCCAAAGATCAAATAATTTCTGATGCTTGAAGAATTTTCAGTAAAATAACATTTAACCTTTAAGAATATTGTAAGTTACAAAAAACAAAAATACATGAAATTTAGTAAAATCACATTTATTTTATTCCACATCACTTACACCATCAGTAGATTTTTTTTGCTGAAAAAAGTTACATAAGCATGAATAATGTAAACAAGTATTTCAAACAGCTACATCAGCACATAAATTTTAGCGAGGTAAACTAGCAAAACCTAAAACAGTCTATAGGAAACATAAAAACCTTTAAGTTCACACTACTTATTTATTTTGAACTAATAATTTGATAGAGAACGGTTAAACTAACTAAAAAACAATTACAGTTACCAACACAAATAATTGGTTTTAGTTTAAATATTAAATGATGTTATAGGTAACTACCTATGATAAGATTAAGGTTATGTTTAAAACACCTTATTGATCTAGTCTGACTTGTAAACTCTCTTCACTTTCTCTACACTTGACAAAGTTCCCCAGGGGATGAAATATTGTGTGTTTAGTCTCTCTTCTGTATATTCTATGGCCTACCTGCACTTTTCAAGGTAAGCTAGCTGCTATCCTCCTAATTCTACAATTTAAATGTTATATTATCTTAATTAAATTACCTCATAAAAAATTATATTTCAAATAAATTCTCAAACTAAACAAAGGAACCCTTCACAAAATAAATTATCTTCACAACTATAACAATTACACCTGCAAACTTATGGGTTATTAAATTATTATATAGCCAAATCTGCAAATGCTGGGATTCAAACATGGTCCTATAGCCTCTAACACCAGGTCAGTTAATACTAACTAATGTTGTCCTATGAAAATTAACTTCAATCATCTAAATCATTTTTATACCACACAAAAATTAGCAATAAATAGAAACATAGTTCCTCTCATATAATATCTCATATTAAATCTGGGACAACTTACATTATTGAACATTTCATCTGCGATTTCTTCAATGAGTCGTACATCATCAGGATTCGCTTTAGAGCCGAGCCAAACGTAAACAATACCGCTCTCTGTCTCCTCGTCACTCTCAAACGGGACCTTCAGGATATAGCTGGAAACATACAAAACATCTAAATTTAGTAGTTCAGAAAAAAATCAAAGATTAGACCTAATATACAAATTGGGTGTACAGAAACAATGATGAAAATACAACTGCTAGCTACATATAAAACTTTATACCCACCCACTTACTAGTGGTAGTTAAGATCAGAGCATAAATAAATTAAAATATCAGAAGATCAGAGGTAGTATACTTAACATGTGTTAGAACACACACCTTAAAAATTAAAAGAGTTTTTATTCAAAAAAATAGATATTTGTATATTCTTGTCAATTGAAGAGAAGTAATGTTCAGACCATTTGCTTTTTCATAAATTTTTAAATTGTAATTTTAGGTTACTACCCCTAATTATGACGCTTTTTAATCCAGAGGTAGTGGCTACCTATCTCTATCATTAACTTAAGATACTTCATGTAGATTTCATATTCTATTCTAATAATGAACAATCTTTTATGAGCGTTTCATGGTCTTTACATGTACTGATATTTTCAACGAGCTTCCTCTTAATTTAAATTGCTGTCGGCATAAACATTGTTTAAATTTTGTAAAATGAAGTATTTGTAAGCTGATACACGAATAAAAAAATACAGCAATTCAAAAATAAAACTAAAGCTAGGGAAACAACCCCCCCCCCCCCCCCCGCATCAGATCTTATTCAGATCTTGTTGCAGCGGGGTGCGGTTCTCTAGAGGACCGAGGAGTTCGTGTTGTTGTGCAAGTGGTTCTGTGAGAGAAACTTGATGTCAACACAAAGTCTAGGAAAACACTAGTCCGTATTTGTCTGCGGTTAGGTCTAAAAATGCATTGAACGCCGCACCCCGCAGCTAGGAAAAGGCACCTTAAGTTGTATGCACTTGCCTTGGTATCACTAGGCCTAAGTGTGAAACTGTTTTTCAACCACAGACGAAGGACAGGTACTCTGCTAGTATAAAAGACGTAAAAGGACATACCTAAAAATACTACAGAGAAATAAAAAAATAGGCCTTTAAAATTAACTAACAGAAGAGCGCAGGAGATGATTAGGATTTTGTCGCAATCACGGCTTCTGCTTTCTTTGATTAGTAACTATTCATTTTAAAAGGCTTAATTTATCACAGTAGAAATGTCAGAAAAAGCATAGTAAAATTATAATCCACCAATAATTTTGACATTATATTAGTGACTCACCAGAAGGCAGAGTTGAGCGAGGTTGCGTCAGGTTTGATTTGCACCAGTCTTGTACACAGCGGCCCTCCGTTGGCCCGCAGATGGTACAGCTCCACCGGTAACGGAGTGTTCTTCGGCCGAGGCTCTTTGCGCTTACCCAGGTGGATGATCATTTTGCGCTTGAAGTGTGCCAGAAACTTTAAGTTCTCTTGCTGCTGGTGCAACCTAACTACATCCAGGTTCTCGCCGAACAACTCCTTGAACTTCTTCTGCAACCTGTGAAAGGGAGAGTAAAACTTTAAACAATGATGTCTATAAATTAAGGTCTCTGTCTGCTAAGATGATTCTGCCTCAAAGAGGGGTATCAACTACCACTAGGGAGGTAAAGAATAGTGGTTAGATGTAGACTAGCTTGCTGCATAAAGTTGGAAGCTCGTATGGATACTTTATTCGATGGCCAATCAATAAACAATTTTAAGGATTGGCAGTATGGCTTACTAAAGAAAATTACAGAGATAAGGACACTGAAATATAAACCCAACAAAACACTGATATTTTGACCTATTGCAGGGACCAGGCTTGAGTAGACGATCAGATAATGAGACACCTCCAAAGATGCATTTGATTGCTGGATAAATCTTAGATTTAGACAGTAAATTAATATTGATGAAAGGGATAGTTTCTATTTGTAGATATTTAAGCTCCCACACTATAGTTTTCTTGCATAAGTATTGATTAACACTGTGACAAGCCATTGCCATAATTTGGCATCAGTATAGGTCTGTATTTTTGTTTTTAGCCAACAAGATAAAAGCCATAACTTTCCGGTGTGTTTGGCAGAATTTTGACATAGTTTGTGGGCAATAAACTGTGATTGACAGTGTTAACACATCTTTGTTCCCATTTTGTGCATCTACTAAAATATCAATGTTACTTGCTTTGCTGTGGATGTGCATTGTGCATGTACTGAATTTGAACTGAAATGTAATATTGCATAAAAAACATTATTATTGTTTTCTTTTAAGAATAGTTTCTCAATTAAATCTAGGGATGGACGGGTCCCGAAATTTCGGGAATTTTTCGGGAAAAAAATATTTCCGATTATCGGGACGGGATTACATTTGATTCGGGAATTTTTCGGGACAAGATTTAGTCTGATCGTTGGTGATTTTGCTGCTTCGCAAGTGACGATGATGCCGCTATTGCGAGAGATGTTCACGATAGCTCCTCGAACGCAGGACACAAAGTGATTTCGACGATCGCGCCGTGATCGCGGAGTCATAACGACGATCCCGCCGAGATCACGAGTCATACTGACGATCACCCCGTGACCGCGGAGTCATACCGACGATCACGACGTGACCGCGTAGTCATACCGACTATCATGCCGTGACCGCGAGTCATACCGACGATCACCTGGTGACCGCAGAGACCAACCGACGATCGCGCCGTGACCGCATAGTCATACCGACTATCATGCCGTAACCGCGAGTCATACCGACATTCATGCTGTGACCGCGAGTCATACCGACGATCATGCCGTGACCGCGAGTCATACCGACGATCACCCCGTGACCGCGAGTCATCTCGATCACAAGTCACAAGTTTCTATAGGTACCTGTAAACCCATTTTTTGGTTTTTATAGATCAGTGCCACAAACGATAAAAATTGATTTTGTTTGTCTTTTTTTGGTAACTGCAATACTCAAGACTTTCTTTTTATGCATAGAAAAAAATCCCGAAAATTGGGAAGGAAATAAAAATCCCACCCCGTCCCGAACTAAAAATTCAATCCCGTCCATCCCTAATTAAATCAAAGAAACCATAATACTTTACATCTGTTTTTAGCCTTGTCAACAATATCTCCACGCTCCTAGCTCAGTAATCCCAAATTGATATCAATTAACTGCCAAAGTTTTAATGTATTGTATTACTGAATGTCCACTATATAATAAATGAAAGAATTAAATAATTGAATATCTCCGTCAAACAACGTTGCTTGCAAACGACAAATTTTGTGAAATTGTGATTTTCAAAAAACAATTATGCAAATTACAAATGACATGCTTTACTGTGTGGGATTTTTGTTTTTGAAAATCCAAAGGTTGGCAGCACTTGCAACGATTGAATAAACGTTAAACTGACTGTGTTGTCATCGGCACAGCTAGAACGTTTGAGTGTTTTGGTTTTCTGAAAATATTCAACTTAGTTATTTGCGAACTGTTAGACGGAGCTATTCAATGATAATTAAAGTTGCATGGGAGGTGCAATCGGCTAACTCACGTGAAGGTGAACGTAAGCCAGCCCATGTTTGAGGCGTCTCTGCCTTGCCAGAAATAGACGACACATTGATGATCTTCTTCAGGAGGAGCGTCGTCTGCTTCCCCCTCCCCCTCCACCGGCACCCAGTAGCGGCAAAGGAACACATAACAGTCCTTGCTGTAGAAGTGGCCTAAGGAAGACAAAAAACTGACGTCAAGAACATAAAAGACAGAAATTGTTGACATTGCAACTGTTATGAATAGCATAAAAAATGTGTGTAAACTCAACATGAAATCGATTCGGTGTGTTTGATACCAGCCTGTTCAATCAACATAAACCAGGTGAGTTTAGCTAAGGGCCTATTAAAAACAAAATCTAAAGAAAAGTAATTGTTCTAGATCTAGTGCAGTTATGATAATTAAATTTCTTAAATTTGGTTGGTGATAAGTTAAGTACTTGTATTTTAGTAAAACCAATGGTTATCAAAGATAATCAAATAAGTGAAAAATCAAATCAAGCCATTAGTAGAGGCATACAACAACAGCTACTACGTCAGATATTTATTTAACACTCTAAATTTTAATTAAATAAACCTACTTCTTGTGTTAGAACAATTCAGTAAAATGGTATATTGAATCTGACAATATCTATTTGATCTCGCATCCAGTGTATCCACACAACCAAAAAAATAATCCCGCTTACTGGGTCAAAAGATCCCATTTAATCCCTCTTTTAAATTATGGAAAATTCCATTTTATCCTGCAAGATTTTTTTTGTTTAATCCTAAGTGTTATGTATGACATATCATGTTTGATTTTAAATAGTTGTTTAGACATCTATCTATATATATAATACGCTAAGCCGATTTTTGTAAACAGAACTCCTCCCTCATTTTTAGACCGATTTTGATGATTAAAGTGCCAAAAGAATGGTCCTGATCTGTAGTTTTGCAAAGTGTTTTTATTTTTTTGAAATCTTAATTAGTTCGGGCTGGATCTTCCATCAAAGTTGGATTTCCTCCCATAAGATTAACATGGGGGAATCTAAATATTTAATTGGAAACTTTGTCTCCACTAATTTGAGAGAACGACTGGGTGTAGAAACTTGGTAGGGGTGTCCAAATAAAGGTCTTGGTCTATAGATAAGTTATCAAAAGAAAAACGTAATAAATTCCCTTACGGCTCTGCCCCAGAAGCCTTTAAAAGATCCCTCCAAAGATGAGTTTACATTTTGACTATGTGGATAGTACTTTTTAATGAAACAGCTGTTAATTTTTAAATTGTATTCTAAACAACACTAATTTATTGAGAGTTACTGAATTGTCCAAAAGAAGTATTTGCAATGTTATTTTCTGATTTTAAAATTTATCATTATTCTAGACAGATCATCATATGTTCATGAGGTTATTGCCATCATTGGAAAAATCTTCGATTGTGTAATACAATACAAAATAATAAGTGTAGAAGTGTCTTATTAGCTTTAAATGCAACCCCACAACCGATTTCTAAAAACTATTCTAGAGGGTTATTCATTGGCACAGAAGTACGATATGAACTGACGCGTCGTGACAATGGAAAGATCAAACTTACACTGTAACGGATGAACCTCCCTTTGAAGTTAGAACGTGTTTTCTCAACAGATATTTTTCTCAAATAAAATCATAGATTAATCTTTATTACACTGATGAAATCGCGGAAGTTTTTAACTACAAAAGATCCACCAATACGATTTTAATACTATCTAAAGGTTCTTCCAAAAGAAGAGATACCAGTGAACATACTAATAATAACTCCGATGACGTACGGTATGGGATATATTTTATTCATTGAATGTTAAACCATATTTGGAAACTAACGCAATTAATATCATTATTGTTTTTACACTTATTACTCTCTAAACAATGCTAAATGCTCAAAATATGTATAATTTCACTTAATTTATCGCAGTTAGATGAATTAGCGCAAGCCTTGAAAGTAACCATCGATTTCGACGGGTTTCACCTAGTTGCTATTATATTTTGCTACAGTAGTTTAATACAATGGAGATAGTTTTTTTTTCTCTAAAATTAAGTAGAACAAAAATTAAAATAGACGTCATAGCCAAAAATGCCGTTTTATCCTGCGACTAGTTTTAATCCCGCTCATGATCTAAAAATCCATCCGGAAACACTGCATACAGCTTCTAAATCGTACACTACTTCTAATGAAGAAATCCCACGTTCAATCCTTTATAAAAAGATACATTAGTTTTACAGTTTCTTACCGACTTCTTCCTCTGGCAGCCGTACAAACTTCTTGTTGATCGTTCCCTCTAGGACAAAAGACTCCATTGCGTCCAGGTCGTCGTTCCAGTCCTCCATCAGTTGTTGTGCCTCCGTCACACTCATTGCAGGTTGTCTTGGAGTGAACAAGGCTGCCAAATCAGCCTGTCAGAAATAACATTGTATTATACTATCATTAAAATACTACTTTTTCGTTTGAACTTTTATGAAAGAGGGTTTAAAATTATAAAAGCAAATGAGCGGTATCAGCAATCTGTTCACATACTTTCTCAGATTGGCTTGTTAACAAACAGTGGGAGTAACTGTGATATTTTATAGGGAAAATCTGAAAAGTTCCAATAACTTTTGAACTGTAATTTTTACAGCAATTTGAGCTGTACCATTTTGTTTAGAATTAAAATGACCATAACATACTAAATTTTAATCAAAATCGCTAGAGCCACTCCGTTGAAAATCTGATTTTTTAAATATTCTACAAGCTTTCAAGTATGAACAAATCACCATTAAAAATTCAAATTCAAAAAAACACTAAATGATTGATAATCAATGGGAAACGTAATGTAAATTTACCTTATGGTTGCCAGGTTCTTGAGGAATTAAAAGGTTTGATGTAAGTTTTGTCACTTGCGTGTCAACCATAACTTTAACCTATTTTAAGTATTTTGTTTCTTGAAACTGGGAAAAATACACAAACTTAACACAAACTGAAAACAACAAACTTAAAAATTCACATTGTTTACCTTTGTTTCTTGTTGTTTAGCCCACTTAGTGAGGTCAGCTCCTGTCTTCTGTACAGATTCTGCTGTTCTTGTGAAGTCTACTGCGATCACCTTACAGTCAAAGATAACAATTAATAAGTGTTCTCTGTTAAAAGGTGTTCTCAGGAAAAAATATGGTTATGGAAATCAGTCATACTATTTACCATACACTATCTTGTTGCTTTTGTTTGATATTTTTTTAACTGAACAGTATTTTTTTAATTGATATATGTTTGCTAATACTAGGGTTATTTTATTTTAATAAATTCGATTAACTCATTTAATATTCTACTCAATGCATTTTTACATTTGAAACTGTACTTTACATGTTTTAATAAGATGTATTGGGAGGTTGAAGCTTACTGCTTTGAATTTAGGTTTTTCAAATGCAACAACCAGAGGTTCACTGTGGCAACAAAAGAACAAACAGGAAAGTATAGAAATAAGGAAGAAAAATAGACACCCAACTAACGCATTTGAGAAAAGAATTCCGGGCAGTTCATAGCAAAACATTCACAAAACATACAACTTCATATTTTGACCCTTCAAAAAACATACCCAGCCTTAACTCAACTCTGAACAAGACTCCCGAGAGGTACATATTACATAATATCTGAAAGTCTGTTGACTGAAACTGTGTCAAACTCTTTTCTCAGATTATTTAGATGTTTATATTTTATTGATATTTTTCCTCAAAAAGTAGCATTTTCTCAAGCCTGCTAGCTTTTCCTCCATGAAGGTGAAAAGTATTGGTAACACAATTAGTCTACAATAATCAACAGACAATTCATAATTCTGTACTCATGAAACTTCAAGCATTTGCTCACCTCGTCCCAGCCGGTGAACTTGACCTTGAAGATCTGTGTCTCCGTCCCCTCTTGCACCCTGGTGACCAGAGCGTGAGACGGACGGTCCATCATGTTGAACAACTCATGAGACAGCTTCACAGCAGCTGCTCGAACTAGCCTTGTAGACTTCTTACCAAACCTGTCACATTGGATATTGGATTGGACATAATTATTGTTTGATTAAATGATTTTTGTATACTCCATCTTATTTGTGGTGAGTGGTAAGTCTAAGATCCACTTTCAAAGAGCCTGGATCAGATAGATATTAGATATCAGTGCTTAAATATAAATCAGAATATCGTAACTTTATATCACCGCAATTGCAGGAAATATTTAGGATTATATACTACGAGGGACAGTGATTATATTCCTTATATTCCTGCAAACTCAAAGGATGTAAACAATATTGCCACTATTGAGGAAGACAATGACGACGATGTACCTACAATGACAGGTGACAATGATGATGTCTACACAATCGGAATAGTTATAATGATATTCCTGTGATTCCAAATGATGATTATGACATCTTTACAATCATAGTTGAAGATTATAATATCTTCACAGTGGTAAGTTACTAAATTGATGCCTCCGCAGTTCAGGGAGAATATAATTTTATCAGAAGATGATTGTATCCCCCCCCCCCCCCAACAATTTGACAATGATATTTCCGTGACCATGAGTGTCGATGGGGATGTCCCCATGACACGATCATCTTGTCTCTGCGACCCCGGGAAATGATCGTTTTCCCCCAAAATTGCGGGTGACATTGATGATGTATCCAAGGTATTCACGATTATAATAAATGTTACAATTTTGCTACGATAACTGGGATCAATTCCATCAGCAGCTTCCAAAAGCACGACTTAAACTCTCAGAGAGATCAAAAAGCTTAGGATCGCACTAGGATAATGTGAAGGTATTGATATTTGTTTGCAACTAGAAGAGGGAGAACTACTTACCATACAAAAAGATCAAGGTAACAATCAAGTATGTAGACATTCTTGCTCTGCAGTAGTGTATGGTCCAGCTTGTTGTGTGTCAGCTCCACCTGAGGCAGTTCTAGGTAGCCCATCCCCAGCTTCACCTGGTACAGCCGTGGTGGTGCAATCTTGTAGTCATCACTGACATGCTCCTGTACACATACAACATAACCTCAGTAACTGTCTAGTATGTAGACATTCTTGCTCTGCAGTAGTGTATGGTCCAGCTTGTTGTGTGTCAGCTCCACCTGAGGCAGTTCTAGGTAGCCCATTCCCAGCTTCACCTGGTACAGCCGTGGTGGTGCAATCTTGTAGTCATCACTGACATGCTCCTGTACACATACAACATAACCTCAGTAACTGTCTAGTATGTAGACATTCTTGCTCTGCAGTAGAGTATGGTCCAGCTTGTTGTGTGTCAGCTCCACCTGAGGGAGTTCTAGGTAGCCCATCCCCAGCTTCACCTGGTACAGCCGTGGTGGTGCAATCTTGTAGTCATCACTGACATGCTCCTGTACACATACAACATAACCTCAGTAACTGTCTAGTATGTAGACATTCTTGCTCTGCAGTAGAGTATGGTCCAGCTTGTTGTGTGTCAGCTCCACCTGAGGCAGTTCTAGGTAGCCCATCCCCAGCTTCACCTGGTACAGCCGTGGTGGTGCAATCTTGTAGTCATCACTGACATGCTCCTGTACACATACAACATAACCTCAGTAACTGTCTAGTATGTAGACATTCTTGCTCTGCAGTAGAGTATGGTCCAGCTTGTTGTGTGTCAGCTCCACCTGAGGGAGTTCTAGGTAGCCCATCCCCAGCTTCACCTGGTACAGCCGTGGTGGTGCAATCTTGTAGTCATCACTGACATGCTCCTGTACACATACAACATAACCTCAGTAACTGTCTAGTATGTAGACATTCTTGCTCTGCAGTAGTGTATGGTCCAGCTTGTTGTGTGTCAGCTCCACCTGAGGCAGTTCTAGGTAGCCCATTCCCAGCTTCACCTGGTACAGCCGTGGTGGTGCAATCTTGTAGTCATCACTGACATGCTCCTGTACACATACAACAAAACCTCAGTAACTGTCTAGTATGTAGACATTCTTGCTCTGCAGTAGAGTATGGTCCAGCTTGTTGTGTGTCAGCTCCACCTGAGGCAGTTCTAGGTAGCCCATCCCCAGCTTCACCTGGTACAGCCGTGGTGGTGCAATCTTGTAGTCATCACTGACATGCTCCTGTACACATACAATATAACCTCAGTAACTGTCTAGTATGTAGACATTCTTGCTCTGCAGCAGTGTATGGTCCAGCTTGTTGTGTGTCAGCTCCACCTGAGGCAGTTCTAGGTAGCCCATCCCCAGCTTCACCTGGTACAGCCGTGGTGGTGCAATCTTGTAGTCATCACTGACATGCTCCTGTACACATACAACATAACCTCAGTAACTGTCTAGTATGTAGACATTCTTGCTCTGCAGTAGTGTATGGTCCAGCTTGTTGTGTGTTAGCTCCACCTGAGGCAGTTCTAGGTAGCCCATTCCCAGCTTCACCTGGTACAGCCGTGGTGGTGCAATCTTGTAGTCATCACTGACATGCTCCTGTACACATACAACAAAACCTCAGTAACTGTCTAGTATGTAGACATTCTTGCTCTGCAGTAGTGTATGGTCCAGCTTGTTGTGTGTTAGCTCCACCTGAGGCAGTTCTAGGTAGCCCATTCCCAGCTTCACCTGGTACAGCCGTGGTGGTGCAATCTTGTAGTCATCACTGACATGCTCCTGTACACATACAACAAAACCTCAGTAACTGTCTAGTATGTAGACATTCTTGCTCTGCAGAAGTGTATGGTCCAGCTTGTTGTGTGTCAGCTCCACCTGAGGCAGTTCTAGGTAGCCCATCCCCAGCTTCACCTGGTACAGCCGTGGTGGTGCAATCTTGTAGTCATCACTGACATGCTCCTGTACACATACAACATAACCTCAGTAACTGTCTAGTATGTAGACATTCTTGCTCTGCAGTAGTGTATGGTCCAGCTTGTTGTGTGTCAGCTCCACCTGAGGCAGTTCTAGGTAGCCCATCCCCAGCTTAACCTGGTACAGCCGTGGTGGTGCAATCTTGTAGTCATCACTGACATGCTCCTGTACACATACAACATAACCTCAGTAACTGTCTAGTATGTAGACATTCTTGCTCTGCAGTAGTGTATGGTCCAGCTTGTTGTGTGTCAGCTCCACCTGAGGCAGTTCTAGGTAGCCCATCCCCAGCTTCACCTGGTACAGCCGTGGTGGTGCAATCTTGTAGTCATCACTGACATGCTCCTGTACACATACAACATAACCTCAGTAACTGTCTAGTATGTAGACATTCTTGCTCTGCAGTAGTGTATGGTCCAGCTTGTTGTGTGTCAGCTCCACCTGAGGCAGTTCTAGGTAGCCCATTCCCAGCTTCACCTGGTACAGCCGTGGTGGTGCAATCTTGTAGTCATCACTGACATGCTCCTGTACACATACAACATAACCTCAGTAACTGTCTAGTATGTAGACATTCTTGCTCTGCAGTAGTGTATGGTCCAGCTTGTTGTGTGTCAGCTCCACCTGAGGGAGTTCTAGGTAGCCCATCCCCAGCTTCACCTGGTACAGCCGTGGTGGTGCAATCTTGTAGTCATCACTGACATGCTCCTGTACACATACAACAAAACCTCAGTAACTGTCTAGTATGTAGACATTCTTGCTCTGCAGTAGAGTATGGTCCAGCTTGTTGTGTGTCAGCTCCACCTGAGGCAGTTCTAGGTAGCCCATCCCCAGCTTCACCTGGTACAGCCGTGGTGGTGCAATCTTGTAGTCATCACTGACATGCTCCTGTACACATACAACATAACCTCAGTAACTGTCTAGTATGTAGACATTCTTGCTCTGCAGTAGAGTATGGTCCAGCTTGTTGTGTGTCAGCTCCACCTGAGGCAGTTCTAGGTAGCCCATTCCCAGCTTCACCTGGTACAGCCGTGGTGGTGCAATCTTGTAGTCATCACTGACATGCTCCTGTACACATACAACATAACCTCAGTAACTGTCAAGTATGTAGACATTCTTGCTCTGCAGTAGTGTATGGTCCAGCTTGTTGTGTGTCAGCTCCACCTGAGGGAGTTCTAGGTAGCCCATCCCCAGCTTCACCTGGTACAGCCGTGGTGGTGCAATCTTGTAGTCATCACTGACATGCTCCTGTACACATACAACATAACCTCAGTAACTGTCTAGTATGTAGACATTCTTGCTCTGCAGTAGTGTATGGTCCAGCTTGTTGTGTGTTAGCTCCACCTGAGGCAGTTCTAGGTAGCCCATTCCCAGCTTCACCTGGTACAGCCGTGGTGGTGCAATCTTGTAGTCATCACTGACATGCTCCTGTACACATACAACATAACCTCAGTAACTGTCTAGTATGTATACATTATTAGGGGTCTGTGGGTCCTCATATTTTTGGGTCGGGTCGGATCAACAGTTGGCCCCAAGGTATCAGTTTGGGTCAGCAAAAATTTGAGAACAAATTCAGGTCGGGTTGAGCCGAGCTTTTATTTTTGTGATAGCAGAAAGGTTCTGAAATGACGTACAGTAGAACATTTATGATTTTACAGCAAGTGTGGGTGATAGTCAAAGTTTTGTCACTATTAGAGATAATGTTTTTGCTGTAACTGCAGAAGACGTTCACACTTTTGCCTTGCCCAAGATTTTCAGAATTTTGCTAGGACACCAGAAGATGTTTTTGATTTTACCGTAACCGTAAATGTTCCCGATGTTGACTGTGGAAGACTTTCACGATTTTGTAGAGACCACAGAAGAGGTTCTCGTTACTACCGTGACCACGGGAGATGTTTTTGATTTTGCCGTGATCATGGAATATTTTCACGATTTTGCCGAAACCGCAGTTGATGCTTTTGTTTTCGCCATTACCACTGAAGATTATCTCAAATTTGCCATGACTCTATGTTAGTAGGGGAGGTTTAGATTAAGTACTTTGAGTTTCTTAAATTCGGGTGATATGTAGATTATTGATTGTTGAAACTAATACTTACAATGACTGGTTCCTCTGGTTTCATGCCATCCTCCTCGCCAAGTGCTCGCCAAAAGTCACAGCTTTCGTCGTTCAGCGTTTCCATAATTATCTCTGCCTTATTCTTGCGTTCATTCTTGTTAATCTTTTCTGCCAAGAGCCTGGAAAAAGTACATAAAGGTGTCAATAGTAAAGTGTTGTAATTAATTCTTCTATTGAGTATCTGCAGCCTGACAGCTATATGATTACAATAAATGTTAACCTTACTCTTATTATTAAAAGTTAAAGTGTAGATTTTACATTCAAGCTTGATCATTCTGTGGTTGATAAGTCAAATTAAAACTTCCTTGCTAATGTCTAGGAATCTCTAATAATTAAAGATTCAACAAATTAGATTGTCATTTATAACTTTTTCGAATTACTTCTAAATTTTGTTACCTTGCTTTTGACTTGAACGTGTTTTTTGCCCTTTTGCCGTACCACATGAAGATTTTCAAGCCGGTATCAAGCAGGAAGACAAACCGAGGATCTAGAGACTCTGCACAAACCGGAACCGGCTCCAGATGGATTCCGGATGTTCCGGCACCATGGACTCGGTACAACCTTATGTTGTAAGCCTGTAACCAATGGCTAAGAGTTAGGTTGACTTCAATCAATTTTAAAATATGGAATTGGGGTTTTACTAAAGGAAAACAATTTTATCACAATAATTATAACTAGTGTAACTGTTCATATATTTAATTATCATAACCCAATTTCTGTTCACTAGTTGGCTCGTTTGACTTTCACTCACCACATCCTCCACGGTGTAGAAGCCGCTGGACGTTCGCCCTCCCTCTATGTACACGATCTCCCCGGGAAACAGTGCCAGGAACTCCTCCGACTCGTCTGCTTGTTCCTCGCGAGCTGTACGACACTCGGCTCCCAGGAAGTTGCGCAGGTTTACAGCGTGTATTGCGGCACATGCTCGCTTGTCCAGCTGTTTGTGAAACAAATAAATTAATATGATATATGACATCACTTAGGGTGTATAGTAAAAAAAAATGATTGTTGAACTAACGATGATCTTTACAAAATATTTCATTTCTGATTGCATTCGTCCCCCTAGTGAAGCCGAAATCATTTCCCTAAAATCGGGTATCAACATTTGGTGTCTCATGTACTAGTTAGCAATCTGGGAAATTCATGCAGTCTGCTAGGGTAGCTGTAGGGGGAAGGACATTTTTGTCAACCATGGCAATTAATAAAGGGGAAAGTAAACACAATTTTCATCCTGTTTCTTGTACTTGATACTAATATTTACAAAACATTTCCGCTAGTTTCTAGTTCGAAATACACTTTCACATTACTCCAGGCTAGGCCTAGAGGTTGCGGCATTATCACTTAGGCAAAATCTATTAGTGATTGGTGTGATTGAGCCGGAGTCCGGTGCTCTACCACTAGACCAGCTCGCTTCCCTATTTACAATACAGTTCAACCACATTATGTTTACCGCCTTTGAGTCACATTTTACATAACCCGGACTACTTTGCGATAAATAAACAAAAAAATTAGTTTAATATGCATTTTGACAGTGCAGTTGCTGTATATGAGTAAGAGTGCGTAAGGTGTGGTAATGTTACTGCCGTTTTTCCGCAGTTACCAAAACGCACCGACGGTTGACTGTAACGCTCCATGCAGGTTTGGTGAGTCATTGTACTTGATTTATTAATTTACTGTTATGTGTAAATATTTTTAATTTTTGTTAGGTGTAAATAAAAGTATTTTTCACTGTAGTTGAAACTGTTATTGTTACTATATTTTGATTTTTTCTGCTCTTTCTCGTGCTAACAGGGATTTTTGCTTTGTCGAATTGGCCTCGGTTGGTCCGACTTAACTAGATTGTACTGTTTAATAGAACATTTCTAAGACCATCACTTTTGTACAGTAACGTTTTTTAGACTAGGTTGGCAGCACCTACCGTAGCTTTCTCGCCGATCCAAAAGTAAATGTGCCACTGCAGATTTTCAGATTCATCCTCTGACGTTTTGAGGACAATGTAGCAATCACCCTCGTAGAACTTGCCATGAGCAACCTAGAAAAATTACAACTTTTTTATACTCTATGATATTATATAGCAAAGGCTAATCAAGAAGTAATGAATTGTACAGTAAATAGTCATAATCATATTTATTTACAATCATTTTCAATACAAACAGTAAGTCATAGCTTGACACAGCATAATTAAAACTCAAAATGTAATTAGCTTAATTTATATTTTAGCTCATTTGATAAATTATTCTTCTAGTGAATAGAATGGATCACAATATTAGCTGGAGAAAAGAGATTTTTAATAGCAATAACAAGGTGTGGTAAGTAATGCAAATAAAGAAGAGTTTACTATTTTGCAGACATAATGTAGTAATGAGATGTATCCAGTCAATTTGCACCACTCCTTCAGACAAGACACTGATGACTTCTTGAAATGCACAAATGAGAATGAGTCTACTGTATACAACTGTGAGTTTTCATTTTCAAATAGTTATTTAGCTTATGGACTACTTTATTATACTTAAAATGGTATATGATACCTGCATATAGTAATCCTTTATTGCTATTTATACAAATAGTTTCGGTTCTTCTGAACCATAAAAAATTAACTGTGTTCAAGACAAACAATTAACTTGGATCTCTAAGAGAGCAACCAGAAACTGAATAAACGATTTACGATAAGTCTGGAGTCTACAAAATAAATTGTAATGACTGCACTAACTACTATATCGGCCAGACTTCACGCTCATTTAAGAAAAGATTCAAAGAACATTTGTCCAGAAATACAGCAGCTCCCCAAACATAACATTTTTCAGAACATCTAGTTTTAAATAACCACAACTATTCAGATATCAATCATAATATGGATGTTTTACATTACTGCTGTACCGTTTAACCAGAAACACATTGGAAAAGTTTTAAATGTACAGAGCAGTTAAAACCGACCATCGGAACGATTTGAACGATAAACTTTTCTTCCAATCCAACTATATTTATAATACAGCTATTAGGATACTGGAGGGGAACAATGAATGAATAAGCATGAAGCTGTGATAAGAAGAGAGAGACAGACATCATTGACCACCTAGACCGCCAGTCTAGACTTTACTTAAGCCTGATGAAGGTATTTGTAAATGTTCCTTTGTGTGTTTCGTTTATATTTGTAACCGTATATTTATTCTATGTTTTCGTGTCTCGTATAGGTTTTATTTATTGAACTCTGTTAAAGACCTTCAAATGAAGTTATCACCTGACGCCTTGAGTCCTAATGATGGTTCAGAAGAACAGAAACTAGTTGCCAGAACAGCAACAAAGGATTACTATATGCAGGTATTGTAAACCATTTAGTGTAAGTTTTCATTACCTCCTCTACTTGATTGGGTAGAAAGTTTTCTATTTCCCAGATGGTCAACCCAGGCATCTGACCAGCATCCTCATCAAACAATTCAGAATAATTGATGGGTGGCTTTTCCAAAGCTTCATCCCATCGCTTCGGCCTGCGTAGAAAAAACACATTATACATATTGTTACTTGATAATAAAATTAGTGTGTTTATTGATATCAGAAAACCGTTAGATATGATGAGTTAGATTATGATCTACTCTAACTAAAAACTGTAAAACCATGAGTACTATGACTTTGAATAAAACGTGTACTCATTCTATGGTAAAAGTTCAGTTTTATCGAATTTCCCATATTATAACCGTATGTCACATGGCATGACCTAGCCACGGGACCAATTTACTCATTTTTGGTCCCCATAGGTAAAAAACACCATCCATTCAAATTATAATACAGTAGACTCCCTCTTATCTGGACACCTTTTAACCGGACATTGGTTTAACCGGACTACACTCAGCGGAAATGGCATCTCTTTAACCGGACAATTTTTATCAGCACATCGGTTTAACCGGACTAGATCGGCAGGAAGTGGGCGGTACTCAAACGACCGTTCTCGTGGGAAAGATTTGAGACCCGTGATCACGTGTCTAAACACAATGCTCTCAAGTCAAATACCCATTTAAACGGTCCGTTTTTTAACGAGTTTTTAAGGACGTTGATTTATCCGGAAAACCCATTATCTGGACTGGCGTTGGTCTGGAGGAGTCCACTGTATATGTATGTCTGTTAGCACAAAAACTGGAGTAAAAATTATTAAATTTTGATGAAATCTGTTGCAAGTTTAGAAAATGATTCTTTACATGAAAAAAGAAAAAATAGTCATATTTATTACTATGTGCATGTAAAAAATATAAGAGTGAATTTTACGTCACACCACGCTAAAAACGCAGTTGCGTCATTCTATGTTTTTATTCTCAACTTTCAAAATATTGTTACATCACAGTAATAAAACAAACTATATATCAAAATAAATGTTAGAATTTCCTGTGTAAAATCATACCAGAAGCAATATCTAATACAAATACAGTAATGTTTTCTTTTGAAACTTAGCAGTCAATAAAATTGATGCTAAAACGACAAGTGACTAGTCGTTTGCCAGTTGAGGAAATAGTTTTAGAGACTAGGCAATAGTCGTTTGCCAGATGCAGGGTTAACTGATTTTCTTGAAACATTACTTTTACTTTAACTAAGTAAAATATCCAAATATTTTGATGGAACGAGTAAAATTACTTACTTGAGTGATTCTGCTTTCACTTCTTCAAGAGTTTTCTGTTTATTCTTTTCTTTTGCAATGTCTTTCATTCCCTGTAAACAAACATGTGGTGTTTTTTAATAATGATTTATTTGTAACAGTCAAATAGATAAGGAAAAATAATTTTAAATTAGATAACTAAAAAACATAGTTGTATTCATTGGATTGTCATTTTATTATTCTTTACTGATTAGAGACTATAAGAGTCCTAATGTCATACCTCCTACTACTCTTCCTTCGGAGAAAAAGACCCTGCAGTTTTAAAAACATTGACTTGTGTTGCTAATTAGGTCACTAGTGTCTCTGTGTTGCATAGTTGGCATTTAATTATTCTTTACTGATTTGAGACAATAAGGATCCTAATGTCATATACCACATAGATACCTGCAAACCTTATTTTATGGTACTACAGTGTTTTATGATTTTCAGAACAGTGAAAGGGTCGGATTATCTGAGGAGCTTAAGCCGGGTTTTCCTAGGCGCGTAGTCGGCCAGCGGAGAGAGGAGCGCGGAGAGCGGACTCAGCTTGTCTTAGGTAATTTAATGTTACTGTTTTCCTAGCAGCGGAGCGGAATGCCATGTTAATTTCAATTCCGCTCTCCGTTGTCCGCTCTCCGCTGGCCGACTCCGTGTCTAGGAAAACCCAGCTTAAAATGTCCAGATTAATTGCTCAGCTGAAATTTATTGATTAAGCTTGATTGCGGAAGACAATGATAAGGCACCCGTGACCGCAGGAGACGTTTAATATTTTGCCACGATTGCGGAGGATGAGGATAAATGTTTCCATGACCACGGTGACGTACGATGATAAATCATTTACAAAGAAAACACCTCAATATAATATTCTTATTTCTTTGCCAAAAGACTGTTTCTTATATAGATAAAATATTATATAGTCAGATGTTTTTAAATTGTTTTTGGTTAAAAACAAATAAGAGTTTTAGTTGTTGTTTCAATGTAATAAAGAAGATGGTTTTTGTTAACACTTATTTTGTCATTTTTTTTAATGTTTAATCGTCCGTGATATCAAATCAATTGAATCACGTATATTGACGATATCAATTGGCGACCGTGACAGGACTTTTTATTAAGAAATGACAAAATTAGGAGTTGAAGATTTGACAACTGAAATGCTAGAGAAAGGCCTGGAAGAAAGTGAGGAGAAGGAGACAGGAAGCAAAGCCTACGAGCTTCGACCACGGGTAGGACGAAATACCCAGTTGGTAGAACAAATATCACAACCTGACCCGGTGAGTACTCTACTGTCCAAAATTTCAGAGAAACTAGATATCCAATCTAAAAAAACTTGACACACAGTCGGCAGATATTAATAGTAAAATGTCATCATTTATGGAACAAATTTCTCACAACTATTCAAAATTAGACAAAAGAATTGAATCATTGGAGTCAGATGTTGTCGTGACCATTGATAAAATTACAAAATTAGAAACAAATTTCGATGGTAACTCTGATAAATTAAATGAATTGGAAACTAAAATTGATTACATGGAAACTAAATTTCACAATAAAATTCAAGCTATCGGAACACAGATATCCTCACAGGAAAAGACAATTACTTGGAATAATCCAGAATACCAACCATCATTCATGCCTGCTGTGGATCCCAAAATTATAAAAGACAGCTTACCGGAATTTCACGGCAGGTTAGAGGAATGTCCCACAGCGTTTTTAGCTACTAGCGAGTCTTTGTTAAAACGGACGTGTATACCGTCAGAAATATATCTGCAGATTGTGAGCCAACAGTTGAGAGGCAGGTACTTGGTGGCAAAACATTAAGGGTCTAAGTCTAGAATGGGACACATTCAAACATGAGTTTATGCAGAGATTTAATTCAGAGGCTGTCAAAGCATTAATCACTAAGAAATTCTTGACGGATGTTCAACCTAGTGGCATGAGAGCTGGGGCATTTGTTATTCAAAAGTTACAGTTGTTTAAGAGAATGAATGATGGTGGGAGTATTGACGAGAGTGTTACTTATATTATGGAACTTTTACATGATAAGATTAGGTCTCTAGTTAAGGTAGCTCAACCAAAATCATTTGACGAACTCAGGAGTATAGTAGCAAAGCTAGACGAAGAGGTAAGCTTTTATCCCTCAAAAACCAGAACTTCGAACCCTGATAACTCCTTTAAATGTTATCAATGTGGGCAAACTGGGCATGTGAAGGCCCGTTGTCCGGAAAACTAGACCAGAACCGTTCTAATAGGGGCGAGAATGGTTCTAGAAGAGTTTCTAAGTCCCAAAACTACCAGTCAGAAAAAACTTATATTGGTCAAATTTCTAGTGAGAGTGTGGGTAATCCCCGTCCGGCAATTTGTATACAGATTGGTGACAAATATTATACTGCAGCCCTTGATACTCAGGCATCACATTCGTTTATTGGCATGACGGTGGCTAAATTGTTAAAACCTGTTTGTCCAGACGGTGTAACTGCTGTCAAAGGTGCGGTACAAGATATAAATTACAAAATCGAAGGATTTACTTTTCTTGAAGCCAAATGTTCTCAAGAATCTATTCACATTCCGGTAAAAGTGATTAAGGATTTAATCCCGGAAATCATACTAGGGCATGATTTCCTTGTTAAATACGGTGTGTTGATAGATTACACAGCAAATGAAATATTTTTTGACATTAAAAATAGAGTTAGATTGGGATGGTTAGAGGACAAACACTTTGATTTGGGAACAGAATTAGAAAACAACGTTTTGGATGAACTGAAAACGGGAATTTTGGATCTTAATCAAAGAACAGACTTGATTAATTTACTCAGTATCTTTCCAGAGGTAATTACAGACAGAATTGGGTTCACTACTTCGGTAAAACATATGATCTCTTGTAAAGATAAAACACCTGTCAAACAGAAACCTTACCCTCTTAACCCTGACAAACGGAAGTTTGTTATAGAAAAAGTAAAGGAAATGGAAAATCAAGGACTAATTGAACCGTCATCTTCAGGATGGGCTTCACCAATAGTATTACCCAAAAAGAAGAACGGAGACTACAGACTTTGTGTGGATTTACGTCAAGTCAACAATAAAACTATTGCTGATGCTTACCCAATGCCTGATCTACGACATCTGATTAAGCAAGTTAGTGGGGCCAAAGTATTTAGCACTTTAGATTTGAATTCTGGCTATTGGCAAGTAGAAGTAGAAGAATCATCTCGGCCTATGACAGCTTTTTCAACACCAAGGGGACTATATCAATTCCGTGTTATGCCCTTTGGATTGAAAAATGCCCCAGCAACATTCATGCGTCTGATGGACAAAGTTTTGTCAGGTTATGTTGGTGAATTTTGTCAAGTTTATTTGGACGATATACTAGTTTACAGCAAAACATTTTCTGATCACTTGGAACATTTGGCTAGAGTATTAGAAAGATTGAAAATTCATGGACTTACCTGTCAGGTGAAGAAATGTCACTTTACGTCCAACTCAGTAGAATATTTGGGTCATGTGTTAACAGACAAAGGATTAGAGAGGCAAACTGAGAAAAACAAGGCTATTGAAGAGTACGAAAGACCTGGTACGAAGCGTAAAGTTTGACAGTTTTTGGGCCTTTGCGGTTGGTACAGTTGTTTTGTACCTCATTTTGAATCCAAGGTTTCACCTCTAACTGACCTTCTTCATCAAAATAAACCTTTTAAATGGACCGAGACGGAAGAGAAAGCCTTCAGGGAGATAAAGAGATCCATCTGTGACTCTCCGGGATTAGCTTATTTGGACCCCAGTCGGGAAATATGCTTACAGACAGATGCCAGTAATGTAGGTCTTGGGGCTGTTCTCTTTCAAGAGCGGATAGAAGGAGGCAAGGATATCATTGAATATGCAAGCAGGAAACTTTCCCTTTCTGAGAAAAACTATTGTACAGCTGAAAAGGAAGCTCTAGCGGTAGTGTGGGCAGTAGGAAAATTCAGGGGGTATCTCGAGGGAAGAAAATTTAAATTATTCACTGATAATTCATCGCTACAGTGGTTAAACAAAGTATCTGGGACCAAGTCAAAACTGATGCGATGGTCTTTAATGTTGGCTGATTTTGACTTTGAAATAAATCACGTCCCAGGAGAGTTAAATCAAGCCGCTGATAGCTTGTCAAGAAACCCGGTAGACAGTGGTGAGATATCCAAAGAATTCATGGAGAGGGAAGTTCCAGTCCCAATGAAGTTAAGACAGATTGAGCCTGTTCTTATGGTGGCACAACGGGAAAATTGTGACATTGACTTGGAATTGGTAAAGAAATGGCAGAATGAAGATGCAGCTTGTAGTAGAATGAAATCCTAGATAACCAAACGTTACACTCATTCTGAAGCTGTCCCATTCCAGTTCAAGACATGCTATGAGAACCTTCGCTTGGAAGACAGTTTACTTATGTACAAATCTCATCTATCAGAATCTTCTCCTGTGATTGTAGTTCCGAAGTCTCAGGCTATAAGGATTCTAGAGAAGTACCACGACAGCCCTGAAGCTGGCCATCCAGGACAAGACGAGACCTACACTTCGATTCGGCGTCGTTTCTTCTGGGTAAATATGCATCGGGACATCAAGAACTACGTCCAATCCTGCACTATCTGTGCCTGTACCAAGGCTAACAACCAAAAAGCTAGTACAAGCATGAGAGGACGTCGGCCACACCAGCCGTGGGAGGTTGTTGCTCTAGATCTTATGGGACCATATCCCAGAACATCTCGAGGGAAGACTGGAATTTTGGTGGTGACAGACCTTTTTACCAGGTGGGTCGAAGCATTTGCCGTTCCTGAAGCTACGTCGGGAAGAATTCTACAGATCCTACGAACAGATGTCTTTAGTCGTTATGGTTATCCACGATGTCTTCTCACAGATAATGGCAGTCCGTTCACGTCAAAACAATGGTTACGGAATCTAAATGAATGGGCTATTGAACACTGGACAACGCCAATCTACCACCCTCAGGCAAATCCTACTGAACGGAGAAATCAGGAGCTTAAGAAGCTGTTTAGGATTCATTTGTTTGACAAAGAACATACCAAATGGGATCAACACTTGCATGAGTCTCTCCTTGCCATCAGACAGCGAGTGAATCGCGTCACAGGCTTCTCCCCAGCAGAACTTTTTCTTGGTCGGGAAATAAAAAGAACTGGGGATTGGAACTTCATGCATGAAAACTCTCCTGAAACTATGAATTTGACTGCATGGCATGAAGAAAACGTGAAACAAATCAAACATATGAATCGACAAGCTGAAGAAAGTTCGAGGAGGGAAGCTGAGAGAAACGATGTACCTGAAGAGCAGGACCTGAAACCGGGTACGTTGGTTCTTCGGCGAAACCATCCCTTGAGTAGTAAGCTTAAAAATGTGCATGCAGGGATGGCACGGAAATGGCTTGGACCTTTTAATGATAAGGCACCCGTGACCGCAGGAGACGTTTATTATTTTGCCACGATTGCGGAGGATGAGGATAAATGTTTCCATGACCACGGAAAACGATGATGATGTTTCCGTGATCGTGGGGGATAAACAAGAATTTTGCCGTGATTGCGGGAGATGATGATGGTCTCCACACAATCAGAACCAATAGTAACGATATTACTGCGATAACATTGTTACCAAAAGGCGATGGCACGGATTAAGTGAGGAGTCGGACTAGCCGAGGTCGGATTAGCGAGGTTCTAATGTACTACATAAAAACTAAAAACATTTAGGTATCAATTTACTTTAAGTATTTTCGCCTGATCAGAGTCTGCCTCTTCATGATCCCTTCGTCCTCTTCTGAGTCTCAGTTTTCTGGCAATAGGATCTTTGCTGGCTCCTGAAATGTTAAACGTTATTGTAAACTTTGTTTACAAAAGTATATAAATAGGATAAAATTACATATTCAAAAGATAATACTTTTCAAAGATTGTAGGAAGGAATATAGCATACAATTACAAAGTATATTTTTCTTAATTTTTTTCTGCATATTTACAAAAATAATATTTTATAAACTAGTGGATTGAAAACTTTACTTACACAGCTTATACCAAAACTATAAAAATCAAATAAATTCTTATTTTAACTACCTAATACCTTTCTAGGTTAAAAGTGCTGCCAGTGAAAATGAAATATTTTAATCGATTTTTTGTGTATAGAGTAAATTTAGTGTTTCTGGATTAGACTCTTTCCCATTCAGGTAGACCCCCACATAAAAAAAAATTAAAAATATCTACGACATTAGTGTAAACTTATAATCAGTGTACCAGAAGAGATCTTTCATTACCAGTAAAATAAAAGGAACACATATTATGCTTAAAAAAATATTCATCTTTAAGTCATTAAAAACTAAAAGTAAAATACAAGTTTAAAATTGTCTCCGTCCACAACTGACCAGTGACAGGCGCCGGGGCAGGTACTGCAGCGCCGGCTAGTCTCAGCTGGTTCTGCAGAGAGAAGTCAATGTTGTAGAACTCGACGCCGGCGCCTCGCTGGGCCTCCACAGGCTTGGGCGGCATCACCAGGTCGTTGTTGTCCTTCAACTCCAGAGTCTGCAGTTCGCTCAACAGGTGAACTGTGTCTGGCAGAGTGATCAGACGGTTGCCACTGAGGATCAGCTTCTTGAGGGACCCGCACCTGCGACAGGGAACTAGTGAGTGAGAGGGAATTGTTTTAGCGAAGAAGTAATGAGTGAACGCTGAGTGAGAAATCATACAGAGGCTTTAAAAATGGCTTAAAACTTAGTTTCCACTTTTTTTGCAAAATTCCAGGAATGTGAATGCAGCAGCAAGACTCAGTTATATATGATAATCTGTTATAACATTTTTGGAACCCACAGGGCACAAAAATTGTGGTGACCAAGTTCTTTTGCGCAATTTTAAAATTTTGTGAAGGAGTTCCATGTAATTATTTATTGTAAAACAACTATTTTCACAGATTTTGTTGTTGACTTTCCCATCAGTTCAACAGCCACACTAGGCCTAACACTAATCCTGATTGTGAAAATTTATTCGGATATTTTTAAAGTTTATTCTCTACTGTCTCACACAGTCTTCACTCATTCCTCCTTTGTCGTAAACATCACAAATCTGGCCATAAATTTCAATTTGCTTTTGATTTGTTTACAACAAAAACTGATCAAAGAGCCCATCTCACAACTGGCGGGATTTGCAACAACAGAGCTAATTCTAACACTCTACTGCAGACAAAGTACGAGAAATATGATGTATACGTTCCCGTAACTGGATGCATATTGAATGTAGAATACTGAGAAGAAGTAATGGGTTGTGAAGACAAGACACAGTTGGGGTACACAAGTCTAGTGGGAAAAGAGTAATGTTTGACTACAATGATTGACTGTCAAGACTTCGACGAGTCTATTCAAGACGAGTCCTTCTTTGTTCGGGCGAATTCATGTTCCAGCACTGACACAGAGCTCCTTGTCATCAACGCAGCGGTTGCCCACTGCATGGTTATAGAAAGCCAAAAGATTTGTATACTCAGCGACTCTAAAAGTGCATTGCAACTACTCAAGCAATATAAACCCTCAAGCTACTACCACAGAATTCAAGAAATCTTTCATCTCCTGAATTTGTCCACAGACAAGGAGATTTGTTTCCAATGGATACCAGGTCATTGCGGACTGCAAGGAAATGAGAAAGCTGATATAATTGCGAAGGCAGCCACCAACATGCACCCTATACCATCTAAGGAACTAACACTTACCAGCTGCATAGCCGCATCTCAAAGATTCTTAACACAAAAATGGGTAGAGAAGTGGAAAGATGAACCAACTGGTCGCCATCTGTATGACCTGCTCAAGGAACCCAACAATACAGACATTTACAAAAACTTACCAAGATCTGTGTCAACATTTGCCTCAAGAGCTAGAACAGGGCATATTGTAACCCAATCATATCTCTTTCGCTTCCAACTCGCTGAGTCACCCCTGTGTCTGGTATGTCAAACGGAAGAAGAAACGTTGCAACACATCCTCCTTCATTGCACTCGCAAGTTGGATATCAGAGATGAGCTGAGGAAGAGACTCCAACCTGACTGTACTCTTGGACGAATCCTAACTGATCCCACCTACTGGAGACTGGCCAACCTTGTATATGAGAGACACCGTGCGGTCGGCATTACCTGAAGCTGGATGCACGTACCAAGAAGTAAGAAGTAAGAAGTAAGTATGATTGACTGTCAACATTTCTGACCTGGTGTTGCATTTTTTGTTGGAGAACTTTCAACAATAACACCTACCCCACATAGGTGCAAAACTAGTGAAATCAAGCCCCCAATTGTAGGAGTGCTGGATACCACCTCATGCTGTTGTTGTATTTAAAATGTTCAAATTATATCTACCAAAAAGTTTGTACCAATACTTTAGAAGTTGTGTGGGGCGAGTATTGATTCCCCACAAAAATTCCTTTAAAATTCAATTGGCGGGCAGTCTGCAGTGGTGGACATTATATTTGACAAAGACAATCCTTTACTGTGAATGGTAGTTCCAAGGTATAATACACTTGCATAAAAGTATTAAATTAAGATTTACAGCCTCAGAATAGCTTAGTCACTTTCAATCATACAAATAAGTTAGATCCTTACTACACAATTTGCTCACGTTTTGGGGTGTGATAGGTCATGGAGGCTAGGGAAACCCTAATCCCACAAATCTTTCCTCTGGTAGTGCTGCTCCCTAGGTGAGCTGTAGTAGAACTATGTCTCCAAACATTGCCACACAGGAAACTGCTTATGGCCTTACTATTGATTGGAATGGAATTTAAATACCGTGATTTCCCACAGTTAAAACGTTCCCTACCGATTGCCGCACTCCTCTGTTTCTGAATAATGAGTACATTTTGTAGCTAATTTGTTAACACATTGTTTATCATGACCCACATAACGGCAGAAGATTTGTCTTTATTACTAAGAATTAAAATATCTAGGAAAATTACACAGCATTGTGAGCTAGCAGTGAGTAGCAGTCTACCATACACATACAAATTGAATACCTTTCTTTAAACGCTAACTTAAATATCCAAGCATACCTGCACAGTCCCTCAGGGATCATTTCCAAATGGTTGTTTGCTGCGGAGAAGACTTCTAAGTTTACTAGTTTTCCAATTCCTGATGGAATACCCTCAAAGTCCAGCTGGTTGTTGTTCAAGTAGAGCCGACGAAGTGACGTCAGCTTGCACAGAGATGCAGGCAAGCTTGTCAGCTGATTGCAGCATAGATTCAGCGTCTCCAGCTGTTGCCAGACCTCTGTATGCAGCAATCAGCTGGTTTAGTCATCAGTCAAAGAGAGTTTACATACAATTAATTAAAGCTAGACTTTAAGAGAATTTAAAATAAATCCCTTAATAGCAAACCCCAATATGATTTACTAAAGCCATTTTTTCAAACATCCCTACCATTTCTCATGCAAACAAATTATCATTCCAATGTAAACATATTTTACATTTACCTTCCCAATATTCCTATACAACTCTTAAAAATTTAGAAATTTCTATTGTTGTTATTTGTTGAATTCCCAATGAACGCCTATCAACCAAAATCTGGGCTGATATAATTAGGAGATTTTAGGTTTGTTGGGGGGACAAGGAAGAGAAAAATTCTGCCACAAGGTATGTGGAGAGGGGCTCTGTTTTATTATATATCAACCCATTGCCCATCACATGAAAACCGCAGGCCTGACCAATATTGTCAGGTATTCTGATTCTCCCAAATCTGTCTCTCTTCTCATCTATCATGTCATACTTTTAATTATTCATTACTTTATTTACCTATTATTATTTCTATAGCCCACAACTCTTAAATGTATTGTTAGTGTATTTGATGTTCCTGTTCAGGGGGAAGAGTGGACCTTTGGTCTAACTCAGGGCAGGTAAAATAAAGAATTTTTCATTTGTCATTGTCCTCAATGACTCACTGCCCATATATTATATTATCATTAAATCTACTTACTTTCATAATTTTACTATTGACTTTTCTAGATGTTCATCTACAGGAAACCATAATTGCGGTGGATGCGGTAACACAAAATACAAATGCCCAAAATGATGATATCAAAGATTTTAAAATGAAATTTTATTATTCTACTTAAAATTTGAAATACCTACCAAGAGCCATGGCCAACTCAGTAATACAGTTACTACTCAAGTTTAGTCTCCGTAGTGTTGGTAGTGTGTAAAGAGCATCAGGTACCTGAAAACGTTCAAACATAACCTTAAAATACTACATTTATAGCAAAGTGAAATTGTAACATAGGCAACAGATTACACAAAGTGGAATTTTTTTTCCTAGGCCGCTAGGCACGAGCCCTGAATTGTTTTTCACATTACTTCAGGCTAGACCTAGGGGTTGCAGCATTATCGCTTAGACAAAACCCCCAAGAACAGAAGTCCCACACTCTAACCACTAGACCAGCTTGGTCCCCGCACAAATTGGCGTTAAGAAAATATGTTATCACTGCCAAGAATGTACGACCTCAACAGATTCCCATGAACTCTGATTTATAGCAGGAAAAAAACTTATAATTTGGTTAAAACCCTTAAACGGTTGCAAATTAGCAACCCTGATCACTGATGCTTAATCAATAACAGCTACACAAGGCATCTCATTCCATCCTTCAACCATATAAATTTTAATACATAAAACATTGAGTTGCCGTCTTAACAAAGAGTCATTAGAAGAAATGTTATACCTTAGGAAGGTTGTTGAAGCTGAGGTCCAGATCCTGCAGGTTTGTCAACATCTCAAGACTAGCAGGCAAGTTTGCCAGTGTCCTCTGAGTGTTTCTCATGTGCAAAGTTTCCAACCCTACCAGGCTGGGCAACTGTCTGTCAAATAAATACCAAAGTTACCTATTGTACACTTATTATAGAACCAAACAATAAGACAAGTCACATAACTTTTTAGGATTTGATAAACAAAACCGATAGAATAGTCAGCGGACCCCAAAAGAGAGTAATAATCCCAGGGAAAATAACAAATATGAGAACAAATTAAGAATATTAGGATGTGAAAAGATTTATGAATATCAGAAGAGATTCTCAAATATTAAAAAACCATTTTTAGAACATGGATTCACTGTTACACTTCCTTTGGCAGCAAAATCCTAGGCTAGGAAGTATATATTGATAATCTAACTAACTGAGGTTCTACCATTTGACTGACTTACGGATACTGAAGTATTGATCCCTTCTTTAACCACCAGCCAATTTATTATTCAAATAAAATAGTTGAGTGAGCCACTCACAGATCCATAGTTCTATTTTATCCCTTAGTTTGATAGGTTGATATGACATAAAATATCATTTAGTTTGTCCTTAAAGATTGGGTTAATGGGTTGGTTAAAAAAAAAAATAGCCTATTCAAGAGAAATCAGGAATCTGCATGGGCACACTGTCGGTGACTGGACTGAACTAGGCTACATTAATTTGTTTTTAAAACTGGCTGCACCTACAACATAGGTATGTTTCCAGTAGACTCCCTCTTATCCGGACTCCTCGGGACCGATGCCAGTCCGGATAGCTGGTTTTCTGTTTAAACCGAAGTCCCCAAAAACTCGTTAAAACAGACCATTTGAATCCATACTGTATGAGCCAATAATGATTATAATGTATTTAGACACGTGATCACTGGTCTCAAATCTTTCCCACGAGAACAGTTGTTTCAGTACCTCCCACTTCCTGCCGATCTAGTCCGGTTAATGAGATGTCATTTCCGCCGAGTGTAGTCCGGTTAAACCGATGTCCGGTTAAAAGGTGTCCGGATAAAAGTGAGTTTCTGTACTGTTGTATCCATAGTAAAAAGTTCTACTTTACCCATAACCAAAATGGAAATATTAACCTAATAATTTAATATTCCTAGCAGGCATTGAATTAGGCTTATCGAATATTGCATTTCTAAAAAGGCTATGTATGTTTCCGATTCTATTTTTTTGTGGAGAACACATTTCAACCTAAATAATACCACACATGAGTGTAATACCACAATCCCAAGCCCGTTCATACATACACCCATAATGGTCTATGTTATGTACATATGTTTGTATCAAAATGTTTCTTTTCCGGCTGTTTAACGCAGCTGCTACATCAAACTAGCCAAGATACAATCAAACCTAGTGCAAAGGGGCGCTGATTATGGTCTAAAGGCATTCTCAGCAAAGACTATGGAAAGATGTGAACATTTACCTCAGTTGGAAGTGTCCCAGTGGGTTATAGTTGAGTATCAATGTTTGAAGGTTGGCAAGCCTGCGCATCTGAGGTGGTAGAGTCTCTAGCTGGTTGTGACTCAGGTCCAGGAACAGAAGATCCGTCAGGTTGACAAACAGAGTGTTTGGGATTGCCGTAATGCTGTAAACAACACCCAAAAGTTCAATTTTTTTTTGTGAGTGAATCGTAAATTCCTTGACTGAGAACATATAACAAAACTTGATAATACATTTTCTTTAGACTCTTGTACAGATTTGTTTGGTTTGTACTTCAGATGGTTCTAACCTCTGCGCAGATAATTTAAAACAATCTGCTTTATCCATAGCCACAAATAAAAAATGTAATTGATGACCCGAGTTGTTTAAGGTACAGTGGAACCTCGATCAAGACCTTCAATAACAAGTCACCCTTGATAGCGAGTGTCTTTTTCAAATCCCCTTGGATTCATTTTATCCGTCGTAATCACATGTTATTGCAAACCTTGATAACAAATCGAAATCATATTTAATAATCCTCACGAGAGTCTTGCTATCGAGGTTCTACTGTACTTACAGGCATTATTGCTGCATTATCAATTGTGGTAAGTAGTAGAGCGTCGATTGTACAAAGCTTGGTAATCCGAAACGTCGGTTAACCAAAAAGCAAATCACCGGTATTGCTGTGATTGAGGCGGCGATTACCAGAGTCACTGAGACCGTCACCAGCCCAAACTGAAATAGTTTTTCTTGATTACCGATTACCGTTATTCCATTAAGTATTGGCAATGGCAAAACAACTTACATGTGTAATGCCTATGAAGATTGATAAAACAAACCCAAAACTGTAGTCAAGTAGTTATAGTCCTCACTTACAAATCAGAAGGTTGCTTGTTGAAACCTGAAAAAAAGTTTTTAGACGGTTTCTAGATTTTGCTGTCCTTAGTTATTGGGCTCTTAATAAGTAAATAAATGGTACTGACTGGAGAAACTTAGTCAGTAAAACATATTTTCAACACTCATCCTTCACCCATCTTTACTAGCTCAAAATATGCACTCTGTTGAGTAAGAGACGTACAAATATAACTTACCGGTAATCTAAAAATAAACAGAACAAACTCACTTGTTGTGACTGAGGTTAAGCACCAGTAGGCTCCGTGCATGTTCCAAACCCTGAGGAACCTCTTTGAGTACGTTATGGCTCAAGTCGAGCGTCGTCAAATCTTCCAGGTGGAACAGCTCGGCTGGTATTCCTGAGCTTTTGACTCGGTTGTAGCGAATGTTTAGGGTGCGGAGTGAGGACAGTTCGGTGAGTTCTCCAAACAACTTTTCCAGAGCATTGTGTGACAGGGAAAGGTGCTCCTTGAAACAGAGAATTGCTACTTCAGAAAGAGATTACAAACACTTCTAAGAGATGGTTTAGCTCTTAGTGTTGGATAAAAGAAATTTTAAAATGCATTGAAAAATTTGTTTGGATGTGCGTAGCTCACCCATTTCAGATGAATCTAGGCCTATACTATGAAATGAATGTTTTACTGAAGGTCAAAATTATAAGGAATTTAGGGGTCGACTATGCCGTAAAGTGACTAATAGTTATCTAGTCTATTTACTTACAAGTTTCATCAAGTTCCCTAGCTCTTCAGGAATTTGATTCAGGCTGGATCTGTCCAACTTGAGCCATTGGACGCCAGACATAAGTCGTACAGAATGAGGAAACCTTCCATCCTGAAACAATATTTATTGATTAGCTACGTTAAAAGCTCATCTAGGCTAAATTTTTAGAGCCTCCAATTTCGGAATAAGTTTTTCAAAATTATGTAAACTCAGCTGGACTTCTCTCAACAGCTGACAAATTAACAAGAATTAATCATTAGGTGGTTAGATTTAAGCCCTAGATAACAGGGATGAGCATCAACAGCTGATGTTTTATGTAGGAACATTGAGGTTTTACTATCGGTGTTCGATGGTTTTTTACCTTGATAGTAGGCTACCAATGTTTCTGTCGGACATCAATGTTTTTGCCAACACTGTAGAGATTGAAGTTTTTTTTAAACTGGACTGTTTGGTTTTGATGGGAATTTATAGGCCCCAATGTTGGTCTTCTTAAAAAAAATAGGCAGAATAGGGGTTTTTTTATCCATTGAGACTCCAAAATTGTTGTGAACTGGACTACACTTAAGCAAGAGTGGAAGGAGGGTGGAGAGAACTTTACATTGTTCATGTTCTTATTCTTAAATCTACCAAAAACCAATTTTTTTGTATTCAATTTCAGTGGCAGCACTTCCGACCCTGCACTAGCCACAGACTATAGCCTAATCAATCAGACCGATATTTCGTCCTGCAAAAACAACAGAGTTTGAACTGCCAATGTAGAACGTCTCGCTAAGTAGCTAGGTTATAGGTTATAAGTTATGTTAATTAACTGAGGCAGAAAGCAGACACAAAATCAAAATAAAATTCAATTATCGATGTTTTTGTGACGATGTTAATATATGTATAGATCGATAGTTGATAGCGGATCAACCTATTGCTCATCCCTACTAAGTTAGATAATTTTATACCGGTAATTAACTCAATAGAAAAACGCAGACAGTTTTTTTTCCCTAATGTAGGCTAGGCCTATATCAAAAGATTTAAGTACTTCACAATATTTTTTAATGTAGACAGACACAAGCTAAAAAACTTGAACTCAACCATGTCTTACTTACACTTGAGGATTAACCTATTGGTCCGTTTTAACTGTCAAGTACCGTAACTTAACATTATGACTATGAAATAATACTGTAAATTGTGTACGGTACACCGACAGAAGAGTTAAAGCCTATTAGTCCATTAAGGCTAACTTTTACAAAATTTAAAGATTTGGGTGCAGTTCCGCTGAGAACCTGTAAACGATTAGGCCTATCGATGTCGATTTCAATATAGGGATTATGGTTTGGTGCGATATAGGATACATTACTTAGGCTATTTTAAACTTAGCTTCTAAAAAAAAATTTTCCCTAGAGACATTGAATTGAGTTCTAAAGGCTATGAACTGTTTACGTTTAAAGACATACAATTAAGTAAGTTAATGGTCTGTTAATGTTTTTATTGGTGTTTAATAAGTTAAATAAAATTGCGTAAGCGTATAAATATTCATTCAAAAACTAAACATATTTTATGGACGTTAACAAAACAAACATAAACAAAACTTATTGATATGATTACTGCATTGTAAAAATGTATCGGTTCTTTCATTTTCAGTTGTACAAACTTAGGATAAAACTAAGGAAAATAGAAATCTTTACACTCTGCGGAACTGCAACCGAAGATTCTATGAATAAGTTAGGCGTTAGCCTTAGAGTGAACTTTTGAGGTTACCACCATTTTAACCAAACAACCAGTGTACCTACCTAGGCCTAAATATTTAAAAAGTGTTTATTTAGACCTAGGGCTAAGCGTGACCTGAACTTATTATATATTCAGATAAAACCATTAGTATTCCACTAAAAAAAGGCCCTAGGACTTCAGGCATTCTTAAATTTCATAAAGTTGGTGTCCAAATATTACAACCTGTAGCTGCTACAGTATTAAGATTTACTCACACTAAAATCATTTCGACTGAAATCTACGCCCCTGACAAATGGTAAAACTCCTGTATTTGCCATTGCTACGCAATTAAATCAACACTAGGACACTAAAAAAACATAGTAATTTTTAATAGCACTTCACATAACTAAAAATTAAAACATAACCTCAAATAAATTATCTCTAAAACAGAAACAGTCTGAGTCACTTGACTGTGACAGATTGAGATTGGGTTTGATTTGGTTGGGTACCGTCAACGTCAAGGGAGAATGGGTTTTAAAATCTCATGGAGGCAATGATTTTGTAACTTATCGTCATACTATAACGTCATACCACAAAAAACAATGCCGATTGACGTTTTAAAAGTTTATAATCCATCCCAATCTCATTTTACCTATTTTTTAGTTATGGTGATAAGATATTTACTTCTATGTGCTCTGCTTCTTCGCTGAAAACTGCGCATTGTGCATACCTTCAAACGTGTTTACCTTTTTAGAATTAATTAACAAATTAATTAACAGATTTACAGAGAAGTAACTGGCACGTTAATGCCCTCTTCCTGATCATGAATTCCAATGTTAAGTCACATTCACATCTTGGTTGGTATCCAGAAGGACACACTATCTACCTCCAATAAACGTTAGGCTGCTTCTGCTGGATATTGGAGACGAGCTTATTTTCCACCGTATATAAGGCTCTAATGGCAATCTTCTATAAATATGCCTCATCGTCAATTGCTTAAAATACCTACTTTGTATGGTTTTAGTTTAGATGAAAAGTATTAAAATATTAAAGTTTCTGCTGGCCCGTCCAGAACTTAGAACCATAGACAAATAGAATAGAACCATAGACTAAGCAACAAAGGAGTATGATTTATCTATGATAGAACCCACTCGACTTAGTTTAAGAGGAGATACATATACAAATACACGAAACCGACAATCGCAAACAATCGGAAACTGGACCCAGCTGTTCCTGATCATTGGGCTTTAAATAAATTATCCTGACTAATAAAATCGCTGATCTTAGTCAGTAACAAAACTACTCAAGTCATCACACACCATTCTACACTCATCCTTCACTCATTTTTGGGTAAAAATACGCACACAGGTGGCGTCCCTGTCTCAATGATTGATAATTTATTTAAAAAAATTTATAATCGTTATTGCCTGATAAGTATCCTCGCAGGGGAGCTCCTCACCTCCACTTACCCTCAGTTGGTCCAAGGATTAGATTTTTTGTCGACGTCTATATTTGGCCACTGATTAATAAAAACTACTGATTAATAAAACACTGATTAAAAGTGCAATAATTAGACTTCTTTTCTAGTCCAACTTATTGTCAAGCTGATATAGTTTTCGAATTTATCAATTACTAGCAGAGCACCCGTCCTTCGTACGGGGTTGGCATATAAGTATAAATTGCTATTGCAGTTATACTCAAGCTTTGCCTTTGCAATGAGGAACAATTTGCTTCTTTAAATTTACAGTTTACTATAGTATTACACATCTACCATAGCCATAATGTTCTACCAATACCTAAACAATAAAGAGAACATTATCAAAAATTCGCAAAATATCACAAATGATTCATGAAATTAAAAACCTAAAAACATAACTGTAAACAATCCTACTTTGACTGTTCTCATTGCGTATTACAGTTTTTTGTTGCTGTTTAGTTAAAATTAGCTGTTTTCATAAATGCAAAAAAATAATAGTGCTACACTCTGTTGGTAAATGTTAAAACTGTTTAATGCTTTTCATATCATAGAACCAACTTTTTTAGTTGAAACAGCTGACAAAATACTTTAATTCCCTTTAAATATGAAAACTCATAAGGTTAACATGGGGAACCTCAGAGCCACTGGGGCGAAGCCCGAAAGGATTTTTGAGATAAGAATATGCCTATATGTTAATCGGGAATGTGAGCTATCATCATGCCAAATTTCAGCCCAATCCGTCCAGTAGTTAATGCGTGATTGAACTTCAAACAAACACACAAACTTTCACATTTATAATATTATAAGATATAAGATAAGATAAGTACCGCATCTTAATAAGATACATGAAAAGTTTGTTCCCTAACGGCGTTTTTATTTCAAGAGCTACCCCCACATAACATACATCAAAACATGCGCCTAGGGTGTGCAGATTTACAAACTGCCTTTTACATTTTCAAATAAAAATCGTAATACTCGAGAGAATTAAGAGTCGTGATTGAATGACGATTGGTATCTATCTGTGCTTCTTCCGAAGCCAGTATTTTAAATAACTTTTAAATAAGAACGATCGTTGGTTTCATAATATGAACAGCAGGCTAATTTGAAACAATCAACTAAAATACCGTAATTAGATCCAGATTTGAAACAAAGTTAAAATACCTCGACAAGTAATAAGTTTGCTGTAGTTTATTTAGACAATTAGCTTTACATAGCCTAAAATTTACAAATGTCTTTAATCTTAGCATATTTCATCAATTTAATACTTTATCTACCCAATTGAGGATTTGGTTGATTTTAAGCTTTTATGGTATATAGCTTGGTTAAGTTTAAAGCTACTGGTGCTATGTGGAAGACAAAAGTATTTCTTAGATTTGATCTGCACGAATTTGCATACCTATATAATTAACTTATTTATCAAGTTTGAAAAAAACGATTTATTTACATGAGGATTATTCAACACGAAATAATTCAAAATTTATTCTAAACAAAACAGTTTCTATTTTTTAATCTTCTTTATTAAATAATAAATATCTTAAAGACTTTTTACAACAGAATATTACGTGATAGTTGAACTGTATTTAATATTTTGAAAATATGAAATTGTGTTTATACAGAACAGTTTTATACCAAATGATTGGTATATGAAGTGTGTAAGCTGTCAAAAAAATATATAAAAAAATGGCTGGGTGGCTCAGTTGGAGAGTGCTCACCTACCTAACAATAAAAAGTTCACCGGTTCGATCCTGAGAAAAGTCAGTAGTTTTTTATGGCTCAAAACTGGACCCAGCTGTTCCTGATCATTGGGCTTTTAATAATGATCCTGAGTGAAGAAACAGTTGATCTTAGTCAGTAACAAAGCTACACAGATCATATCACACCATTCTACACTCATATGTGGGTTAAAGTTGGTGTACTATTTAAACCATCTCAATTATATATATTTGATAATTCAGTGATATTATATATTCTATTCAATATCACACTTTTCTATAACTTCTTGTCATTGTTGTCACTATGTACTAAAAATGTTTAATTTTAAATTCAACAATATTTTCACTCATATATTTTTGTCAAAGCTTGCTCAAATCCTATTTTTGCCTTAGCTTTTTCCGGGTCAGAGGTAAAAGAGTCGTTGATAACACGATGTTTATTTACCAGTATGACTAATGTTTATGTTACCAAGAACGCTGATGTGTTGGAAGGGGGTGGTGGGGGAAAGTTGATGGAGGGGTGTGGCAGAACTGCGTCCGTTTTGTAATTCCCTCTCTCTATCCATCCAGTGTCAGTTAACACTTCGACGGAAATTCAACTCAACAGGTGTGCCAACTAACTGCCAAGGTAACAACAATGCATTCTCTGCTATCTTGATTAAGCGGTTGTTCAATAATTAGCTGTAATTGATGACGTATTGGTTTCGTATTTTTATTGATGAATAAAATGTCTATGCTCTGATTTACCAAAGTGTTCTTACACAAACGTCAAGGCACATAAAATGCTAATAAAAAAATTGTTTTTGTAATTGTAAAACTAATAAGAAATACTATTTTATTAATTTCTGTTTAAGAAAGTTTTATTGAAAAATAGAACAGTTTTTTACTAAAATATCGGTCTGTCAAGAAAATTATGTATAATGTATAGTTTTGTTATAAAAAAAGTAACGCCGGTAATAAATTTAGCGCCCACATTTTTCACATAGGTAATACGTAATTAATTATTTTAACTATTTCCGTGAACACATCGTTAGGTATGTCGAAACAACTTATAACAAATGCATACAGATAAGTGTGATTTTGCAAATAAATGAGTATACTGTATATTTTAAATTTAACTTGAACATAAAACCAACTGATTACCCACCGTTAAACAACATAATCGAGGAATTCACCAATTAACTCATTATCGTAAAACTGAGTAAATAAACGGGTGTTTTAAATTTGTAGTACGTGCGGACAAGTGTTAAAATTTGAAGTCTTATATTTACAAGTTTGTTTGTAGCGGATTATAAATATAGATTGACAGGACCTATCCAAAGTTTAAACGTGTGCGTTAAATGTTAAATATTTATGTATAGATCGCTGGATAGATAATCAGTTCAGGCCTACGTTTGTTTTGGCATAGTTTATTTTTAGTTATCACCCATATTGCAATGTGTAAACTATGTAATTTTACACATACCAGTTGAAAATACATCCTATGAGTAAATAAATGTCTGTTTGGCATAAACATATATTTTTAATATTACATTTTAGGACATAATGTATTTTTATTCAGTTGTGTCATATGTGAGTCATCACACCGACCGGTCTGGTCTTCGACCTTGAACTCAACTTTCTCGTGTTTACAATACCACCTGGCATTTCCCCTCGAGGGATCTTCATCCCGAATGTGGGAAATTCTTTATACCTGCGGGATAAACTTGATATAATAAAAGATTCGAACTCAGCAGTTTCAGTGCAATGTCTAAAAATTAAAATTGCAACTTTATTTTATGTATGTATTATTTTAAAAGTACCTACCCGTCCTTCGTACGGGGTTGGCATAAGTGACACGTGTTTGCAGTTATACTCGTGCTTTGAGTTTGCAATTGGGAAGAACACGGTTTTGGAACTTTTGGTTCTTAAAATTCAAGTTTTATTGAGAGGTATTTTTGATTGAATATGAGATACGTCGTGTTATACTAGAAGTATAGAATAAATAAACACATAATTTCATCTAAATATTTATTTTAGATATTTCAAGAAGTACTTATTGCAGTCCGTTTCACTTATAGTTGTAGTATTCGTGTTTAGTAACCTATTATCCTCCTTACATTAAATTAGCATTTAAATCTACAGGAATATAAATTTAAAACATTATAAAATCGTAAGAGTTTTTTTTTTGTTTAATTGGTTGTTTTAAATCGAAGTAAAACATATAAACAATGTTTAAAATAAGAATTTCAGTTGTTGCAACAAAACTGTAGAGTATGCATACAATTTACAATCCATTTAAAGCGAATCTTAATCTTTGGTTCCGTATGTTTCACAAACGAGATAATTTTAAGATAGACGTATGTCTCAGGTAAGTTGTCCTTCAAAATTCTGCGTCCACCAATGTTTATTGGTGTCAGCTATTTGAATCCATTGTTTAACAGTTAGTTGAAAAATGTAAAAGAAGTAGATAATGAAATTCCCTATTTATTTCTTGTAGTTATTTGCATAACTATTTGTGAGTAAAATTATTTATTCCATACAAAAAGTGAAGGAAACTTATCCGATGAAATGACAAAATCCAAAACAATTAACGTGAGAAACTTTACTTCACAATCTCATTGATCTACAGTCGCTCTACAGTCGTCCATCGTTCTGTGCTTTGTGCTGGTGCTCTAGCTAGAATCTAGGTGTTCTGTGAAGACCAGGGTCCGATGGTCCGATCCTTGGTGACCCTGACCGCAATTAGAGCCACGGGACAAAGGAAGTGGAAGTTGTGGCCAACCGTGACTGGAGGGAGTCTGCTCACGCATCACACAGAGTAATAAACTACGCACGCGTAGTCTCCATAGAGGAATAACGGCTGGAGTTTGCATTATAGTGCAAAGAGATTGAAAATCTACCAACAATTGTATTGCTAAATCTTTACCTTCAAGATGGAGATTTTTTGAATGTTTTCTGCGTCGGACGGATATGCGTGATTAATGGGAATATAAACATTAGACAAATTTGGAACTGTCAAATTTCAATAAATATACTGACAATGAAACCACTTAATAAATAGGAAGATCCTTATTCAAATTATGCATAAAACCACCAAGAACTAGTCACGTTAGCACCAGATGTTCATACACGCCTCCCTCCAAAAAGACGTTCGATTCCCGCCAATCCCGCCCCAAACGTACGGTTTAGTGATTACCGTACTGTGTTACATGTGGCTTGGAAGGAAATTCCACAATCTGATTGGAGATATTATGTTACGTTTATTAAAGACCTTCGGGTGGAAAATGGGAGCAGAATTAAAAATTCAACTCTTGAAAAAGGTGTCATTATAAAATAACTGTTTTTGTGATTGTTGTTATTCAATGTGAGATATTATCACCATCAAGTACCATTGTTCTATGGCGATTCATAAAAATATATCTGGAATTGTTTGATGTCAGCCATGATATAATGGTTGTTGTGGCACGGGTGATGCGCCAATGTTATGGAATGGTAAAAATAACTAGAACACAATTCACAATAAACACTGTTTATTGAAAACTATAAAGTGGATATGACAATAGTGTGCTGTATAATTGAAAGTAATGCACTGATTACTATATTCGGAACATTAACTATGAAGCGATACGCGGAGGGTTCTGCCTCTCACGTCAGGAACGCTTTCACAGAATGGATAGCAGGGGCCTGGGGTTATCCATTGTATGTGATGCTACGGAAACTTTACTCGAACGTCTCGACAATGTGTACTGGCCCCAAACACAACCCTCGCCCTAGGGACGAAATCGCAATTCAAGGGACAGCTAGGGAGGGTCGACCGTATTGTCCCTTACAGAAGGGCGGTCTCAACTGTTTTTCTAGAAGCGACTAGTGGTCCTAGCCGAGCGAATTTATTTGATACTTAAAAATGCTGGACAAAATGTGAATCATGACAATTGTAACTATTTTTATTTTTTAGTAGGCCTAACATAAATATAACGAAACGAAACACAATATATAAAATATACACAGTCACTCTCCTCAACAAAAGTAGTTGAGGTCAACAAAAAAACTGGACCAAATTCCCAAGCTCAAGATTTGTTCAGGCAAAAAGTCTGAAATCCTACAGTGGTAGCAAAACGGGAGTGCCGATGGAGACCAGGTCAAGTCCCCTCAAACGCACGCACCCCCACAGGTCTCCATCGGCACTCCCGTTTTGCTACCACGCACTTGACAGCTCTTGCAGTTATAATGGAGAAGGTTGGCGGTTGCATATACAAATGGATAATATCTCTTCAGGTCAAGGAATCAGATCTAACGCAAAACTTTGGTACTGGAATTTACAAATCAAATACTGTAGTGGAATAAACTTAGTAAGTTTGGCTAAAATATATTTAGTTGTTAATGTGTGATAAATGTTAGAAAGTTTGCATTGAAGTCGATCCCAAAGAGCTTCGCTCAATAATTTGTCATGGAGATGTTTGTTTTTTGTTTCCGAAGTTTTTGTTCGAAGATAAAGAACTACTGACGGATGACAAATAGACCTAGTTAAAATGTCCAACGATCTTATCTCGGAAGTTCTTCAAGTGTGTTATCAATAGATCTCCAATCCGAATATGTCAACAGCTTGAAGTGAATCATCTGTTGACGCCATAGAGCACATGGTTGACGCGATTAACATTTTAGCTAATTCAAAGTCTGCTAAGTTAATTATTTTTTAAACAGAGTACTTTGATGAATTTTAATTTTGTCTCTTCAATCTTCAACTAAGATCATTCCTCTCAACCTTTAACATAAAGGCATCATGTTTTGAGTAGACCTAAAAGATTAAAGCGGAATTCAACGCTTCATTGTAATGTGTTGTCGGAATTTTTAGTGTTTTTAAATAAATGCGAACAATACATATGGCTGTGGCGGTATTCTGACACGAGTAGTGTGCAGTGTGCCGTACATGGTCTGGCAGTCTGGCAGCAGCGATATAGGAGGCCGTGACATTATTACATGTGTGACGTCACCAGTCGGCCTCCGTAGGCCATGCTGGTTCATCAACATCAACATTTCGGTAGTCGATGTATACCGCAATAAGAAAGAAATTGTGTGTACTGCTGGCAAAAAGCTCACCATAATACATCAAGGTACAATCGCCGGGTAACTAATATAAACAACACATATCGACTGTGAAGATACCTACATTTAGGGGTCGTTGAAAAGATTTTATAACTAGGTGGCGTTCGCAGAGGCATCCACAAAATTGAGCGGAGTCATCAAGGGTTTATATTATATTGTTTTTGCAGTAATACCAGTCGTTTTTAATGCATGCGTTGCGGGTCTAAAGTAGCATTTTTACTCTTTAGGAAGTAAAAATAGTTTTTATCCTCTATGGAGTAAACTCAGTTGTAAATTACTATTATAAACGATTGCATGTATCGAAATATGTATCGATTCGTGCTTCGTAATTATTTTAACCTACAGTCTACAGTCTCTTCCCATAGTGTTTTAGCATTGCAGATACATTAATCCATTCCCACACTCAACACGCTCACCTTTACTACTTCCCTCACCACCCCCTACGTCGTGTACCTATTTCCCTCTCTTCCCATAGCATTTTAGGATTGCAGATACATTAATGTAATTGCCAAAACAGTTCCCACACTCTCCACTGCAAGCCTT